CGGCCAGCCTCCCGGACGCACTGCCAGAGAACAGCTGAGATCCCAGGGAACAGGTCACAGGCCAACACAATGACCACTGAAGGGGCACAGGGCCCTGAATAGAAACCCTGGGCCTCGGAGCCCTTCAGAGAAGGAGATAGCAGACAGATGGGCATAGCAGGCAGTGAGCGAGGGGAAGAGGGAAACGAGGGAAGGTGCAGCAATGCAAACAGGAGCAAGAACCCCTGAAAAGGAAAGGAACAACAGTATTCGTATGGAAAAATATGGTAATTAAAGTGTAATCAAGAGGATAAAAAGAGAATGGATACATTAGAAAAGCAAGTAATTTAGAAGAAAGACAACAAAAACCCAGACAATGTAAAAGAAATGTGAAGATATTTAGAGATTAGATTCATAAGTGCTGACATCTGAATAATAAAAGTCCTAGTGAAATAAATATAAAGAAGAGGGAGATTATCTGAAGAAATAATAGAGATCAGCATTTCCCTATACGCAGTGTCGATCAGGCCTCCCATTGCACTTACCATGAAGGCACAGCATGATGTGCCTTGGTGAGAAAAAAGACCAGGGAGCCAAAATATTGCCAAAGAAACCAGGAAGTAATTCAAAAGAAAAATAGGCAGGATGGAGCCTGGACCAGAAGCTGTGACTGTTCCAAATCCCCCCTTAATCCTTGAACAGGACTTTGAGTCCCCTCTGAACCCCAGAAGCCCCTGCTGACCCAAAAACGGAAGTGTGGCTTCACAGGAAGAGAAGAGTCCTTAACGTGGAGAGCTACCTGGAGGGGAGAGCGGGGTGACGCAGCGGGAGGGAAGGCTGAGCAGGCCGCCCTGCCCGAGGACAATGACCTTGGTGACATCTTCCCTGGAAATGCCAAGCAGACTTGAAAAAGGAAAGCAGTTGCCAGTGTTCGGTTTTGGAACAAAAATCCACCTAAAAAGTGTTCCCTGAGGAGACATACTTGAAACCTGTCAGGGTAAAAGAAATGACCGAGGAGAAACCAAAATGGTGGCATAGGTAACCACCTAACTGCAGCCTCACACAACAATTTCAAAAAATACAACTAAAATATAAAGTGGACATTATCCAGAACTACAGGAAAGTTGACTGACTGGAAATTCTACAATGAGAAGGAAAGAGAAAAACAGAAGGAAAATCAGAGGAGCTGTAAAAACCTAAGGTACGAAGACACGTTGCGTGCGCAGAGAGGACTGAGCCGGAGAGAAGGGGCGGCTAAGTGATTGGCTAATGTTCCCTAGCAGGAAGGAGATAAAAGCTCCGTAATGTGCTGAACCCCAGTTCCGACAGCACTGAACCCCAGTTCTGAGTGAGACCCTGGGGACCCAGACACATACAGAGGGAATCTGGGCTGTAAGGCGGGAAGCTCGGGGGAGCGGCGAAAGGCAGAACCCCAGAGTCGCCCACATTGCGCGCAGAGGACTGACTGTTGACTGTGCTGCTACATTGCCGGAGCGGGAAGGAGACAAAAGCTCCGGACTGTGCTGAGTCCCAGTTCCGACAACACAAAACCCCAGTTCTGGGCAAGACCCTCGGGCCCCAGGCTCATACAGAGGGAATCTGGGCTGTAAGGTGGAAGCTCAGGGGAGCGGCAAAAGGCAGAGCCCCTGAGTCGCGCACATTTCACGCAGAGGACAGACTGTTGATTGAGCTGCTGGATTGCCCTAGCGAGAAGGAGACATAAGCTCCGGACTGCTCTTAACCCCACTTCCAACTGCACTGAACCCCAGTTGCAGGCTCGTTGGGGGAGAGACTAGACTGTCTGATAGCAGGCGAAACTCTAGGGCACCTTTTTCTCAGAGGTGCTTGCAGCAAGGACCAAAGGACACTGAGGAACACTGAGACTCAGGAACCTCATAGGGCGGGGCTAACCGGAAACCAAGGCTGTAGGCTCCACCCTGAAACTCCGCCCCATCCAAGCTGAGCACAGAGGCTCTTGCAGTTTTCCAAGTCTAGTCGAATAAGGCTGTCTCCTGGCATAGATACAGCTGATCCTGCCACCCTACCAACTCAGGGAAGCAGCGAAAATGCTGAGACAAGGAAACAGATCACAAACGAAAGAAATGGAGGACAAAAAGCGACTGGATATAGAGTTCAAAACCACGCTTATAAGGTTTTTCAAGAATCTCCTAGAAAAGGCCGATAAAATAAACAAGACCTATGAAGATATGAAAAGGGATCAACTAGAAATAATAAAGATCAACTAGAAATAATAAGGGATCAACAAGAAATAATAAGGGGTCAACAAGAAATAAAGAATACATTCTCTGAATTAAAAAATATTATACAGAGTCCTAAAAACAGAATGGAAGATTGCAAGAATCAAGTCAAAGATTTGGAACACAAAGAGCCAGAGGACACTCCTCTGCAGAAGCAAGAAGACAAGAGAATCCAAAAAGTTGGAGATAGTGTAAGAAACCTCTGGGACAACTTCAAGCGAACCAACATCAGAATTATGGGAATCCCAGAAGTTGACAGAGAGCAAGATACCGAAAACATATTGAAAGAAATAGTGACAGAAAACTTCCCCCACCTGGTGAAAGAAATAGACTTACAAGTCCAGGAAGCACACAGAACCCCAAACAAAAAGAATCCAAAGAGGACCACACCAAGACACATCATAATTAAAATCCCAAGAGCAAAAGACAAAGAGAGAATATTAAAAGCAGCAAGAGAAAAGCAGGTAGTTAGTTGCCTATAAAGGAGCACCCATATGATTATCAACTAATTTCTAAACAGGAAACTATGCAGGCCAGACGGGAATGGCAAGAAATATTCAAGGTGATGAATAACAAGAACCTACAGCCAAAAATACTCTACCCAGCAAAGCTATCTCTCAGAATCAAAGGCCAGATAAAGAGCTTCACAAATAAAATTAAAAAAAAGCTAAAGGAGTTCATCACTGCCAAACCAGAATTATATGAATTGCTGAAGGGGGTTCTTTAGGAAGAGGAAGAAAATAAAGATAAAAATTATGAACAACAAATATGTAACTATCAACAAGTAAATCTAAAAACCAAGGGAATTAAAAAACCCGATGAACAATATTAACTGTTGAAAATAATAGAATCAGAGGTACCGAAAGGGAGTGGACTGACAATTCTCGGGGAAAAGAGGAGAGGGGGGGTGTGGGAAGAGACTGAACATAAACTGAACACCTATGGATGAGGACAAGGGGGGTGGGGAAAGGGAACCTGGTGGAAGAGGAAAAAAATGAGGAACTTTTGTAATAATATGAACAATAAAGATTTATTTTTTTTTTAAATGACCAAAACAAGCCAGGGATGTGGTGAGCACATTTGAATCAGAGCTTTTCCACTCACCTGGATCAAAGAGCTTGGGAAGAAATCAGAGAACAGCCCTCAGCAGTTTGGCTCAGTGGATGGAGCATTGGCCTGTGGACTGAAAGGTCCCAGGTTCGATTTCGGTCAAGGGCACATCCCCAGTGGGGATGTGCAGGAGGCAGCTGATGGATGTTTCTCTCTCATTGATGTTTCTAACTCTCTATCCGTCTCCCTTCCTCTCTGTAAAAAATCAATAAAATATACTTTTTAAAAAGAAAGAAATCAGAGAACAGGCTCTGAAAGCAAAACTCAGGTTTTCAGAAGAAGGAACCTCAATTTAAGCGTCAGCTTGCCAGAAGCACAGAGGACTTGGACACTCAAAACAGACACAGCTGCTGCTGTCCTCCTGGGGCCGGCAGGAGGCTGGAGGGACAGCATCAGAACTTGCTGTGTTCCCAGGGAAAAGCCACATGTGATGACTGAACTTGACCATCTAAAAATTCTTTTTCTGCCTTTGTTTTTTTTAACAAGCCCATTATTTAAACTCCTATTTGAATAAATCTCTTTTGAGGATAGAAATATTTTACTTTTTAAAGCTACTCATGTCTTAAAAATATAATTAATTTTAGAGAGAGAGATAAATCAGTGTGAGAGAGAAACACCTATTGGTTTTGCCTTCTGTACACAACCCACCACTGGGCATTGGGGATCGAACCCACAACCTGGGCATGTGTCCTGACCTGGAATTGAGGCAGTGCATGGGCTGATGCTCAACCAACTGAGCTACCTGGCCAGGCAAGCTTGTTGTCTGTTTCTTTTTTAAGTGTGTTCAAATTAGGCTTATATAAAAAACTACATAAGCTTTTTCCATTTCCCTTTTTATTCATTTTATTGGAGTAGCATCGGTTATATAAATTGATTTTTTAAAATATGCCCCGTCTGTTTCCTTTAGAAATGAAATATGAGGTTATAATTCTGATTTCCTGATCTGTGCTTATCATGAAGTGAATTAGTCTGTTTCTTTGCTTGAAAATAAATGTTGAGATACATATAACATAATGAAATATGAGGAAATTACAGCTATTTAAAATAGATCACCTTTGCTAAAAGTTGTTATTAGCATAACTAAGATTAAGATATAATGTTTATTATGAGTATGCAGATAATAAATTATATAACTAAATATTAATTTTTATTATAGTTATAAATATTTGTGATTTTGTACTTTTTGACTGTTTTAGTTTTCCAGGACAAATTTGGATTTCTGAGTTATATTCCAATTATTTAGGAAACATACATTGTTTAAAGGTAGCAATACAATCAAAAACTGGTTTTATATTTCACTGCATATAAACATTTCTGTTAAATCAGAATGTACAACACCCAATTACTCGGCTACATGCGCTTAAGAGACATTTTGAGGAGCCACAGGTTGGGATTCAGGTGAACCAGCTGTGTGTGGCGGTGGGGTGGGGGGCATGTCCACTGACAGCGGAGGTGGCTCACTGCGGAAGGGACTGCACTAAGCACCCTAGTCCTGCTCCTAAAAGGAACAGGACTTTAATCCCTTCCAGTCACTTCCGCTGCTCTGCGGGAAATTAACGGTTCTTGGTTAATTAAGTAAAAGTAACAAAATTTGAAAGATAAATATAGAGAGTGTACAGAGCCTGAGGCATTGACACGATCAAACCAGCCTACCTTTGCTATAAGTTGAAGAACTTTCCTTCCGACTCAGCTTGAGATACAGTTTGCTTTTAGGTTCATTATACAAGTCAGGATTTACGGTCATAAACTTCTTTAGTTTGCCACACTGTTTTCTTTGAAAATCAAATCCTTTTCTGCAAAATGAGTAAAAAAAACAAAAATGAATTTGAATATTAAGGTACAAATTTTTTGTTGATTGAAATATAACTGGCACATATTTCATATTAGCTTCAGGGGTACAGCGCAATTCTTATAGACAGTGACAAGACTACTGTGGTAAGTCTACATAACATGTGTAGTTACATTTTTTCTTGTGATGAGAACTTTTAAGATTTACCCTCTTAGCAACTTTTAAACAGACTGTATACAGTATTGCTAACCATAGTCAGCATGCTGGACATGACACCCCCAGGACTAATTTATTTTATAACTGAAACCTGAAAGCACAACTGTTTTAAAATACAGTAAGCTAAGAACCAGGATGTATGTATGCTCACGTTCTTTCAGACATACATACAAATAAAAACATGCTGTGTCAAAGGAAGGCGGCAGCAGCCCTCCTGTTTTACAAGAGACTGAGATAGAAAAGGCATCTCAGCGTAAGGAGCGTGTGACTGTCAAATGGAAATAACAAGTCAGCCCCTGATTCCCAGCTTAGAGGTGAGTATGAGGACTGCTAGACACTCAAAGTGCTTAGCAGAGTGCCCAGCACATGGGAGCTCCAGTGCACTCTGTTCTTACTGTGAAAGAAAAGAGCCACATGCTAACCTGACAAGCTCAGGGGAGGCCTGCGTGGCAGTCTTGCAAACTCAGAGATCTAAAATAACCACAAAAGATGGTTTGAAAATAAAATATCTAACTACAAACAGGTTGTAGTGGGTAGTCATGTCCTAGACCGATATTTCACCTGACAAAGATCAACTTTGATCTTCTTTCCAGAGCCCATTTGCCTTTTTGCCTCTAAGATAACACATCTGTGAGATGTCTGGGTAACTTGTAACTTCCTTTTTACCCTGGAACTTTCAGGGCACAACAAATGGCCTCGAGACATTCCCTCGTTGTTATTGTTATCAAGTTAATTGTCAACTGTTATTTACGTTAGAGTATCCTGTATCCATCTCTGTAAAAGAAGCTCATGTTCATCATTTCACCTTTTACCCTATCCCAGAGGTTTCCCCACTTTGCTCTGTCCCACCTCCCTAATCTATCACCAATGAATGTCATGTAACTCACCTACGTCCCCTTCCTTTGATTTCAGTGTATAAATATAGAAATGTAACCCGCCATTCTCCAGAGCATTATCTCAACCCATTGAGGTTCTGCTTCCCAGCATATGTCGACAGTTTGGCTCAAATAAACTCACTAAAATTCTTTACAGGTTTCAGTGGGTTTTTTCTTCCGTTAACATTACTAAATTATCATGCACATGCTCAGTATATAATAGCTCCCTTTTGGGCAGTCCTGGTGCTATGAAACATGTTTCCAAACGCAGCACTTGCTACCTACATGGGCTGTGGCAGGCCACCACCTATGGCCAACCCTGCCCTCATCAAAGCCACGCTGTGGCTGCTTCAGCAGAGTTTCCCTTGGGATTGGGACTATGTATAAGAACGATTAGAAAAATAACATGCCTGCAGTTACCTGGTATCGCTGGATGCAGAGAGGGGCCAGCATGGCGTTAGGGCACTGTTCCCCTCAGCAGGAAGCACGAGATGTGCTTTTAGGCACCTTATCTCCTCAGCCTCCCTCGGAACCTAGGGGACCGCTCTCTGTTAGAGACGCTGTTTGCTATGAGCACACACCTCACAGAAAGCTGGCACTCCTCGTAGAGGGCGATGCTCTGGCTCCGGAGGTACAAGCCAATGCTCTTCACGTCACTGAGCACCAGGGCGGGTGCAGAGTCCTCCTGTGTGATGTGTCCTGGGGTCGCTTCTTCAAACCACTTAAAAAAGTTACACCTGTCAGCTCTGGGTGCATCACAGGTATAAAAGAGACGACCCTAAGGAGAAGATAATACAATTCAGTAAGAAAAAATGTTTCTACTTTATACTGTTTTTTTTAAAAAGGAAAGTCCTTTTTTAAAAAATTATTGATTTGAGGAGAGGGAGGAGGAGAGAGGGAGGGAAGGAAGGAGGAAGGGAGGGAGAAAGAGAGAGAACTGTCAACTTATCTTCCACCTATTTATGCACTCACTGGTTGCTTCCTGCAGGTGCCCTGACCCAGTATGGAACTTGCAGCCTTGGCAAATTGGGACGACGACCTAACCAATGAGCAACCTGGCCAGGGCTCGTACTATGCTTGCTGAGGCTCCTCACAAAGTGTTTGGCATTAATGCACTTCAATATGTTAGTCATCACACAACTCAATCTTTTCATTAGTTTAAATAATAAATTAAAATTTAAAACCAGCTAGTTTTCCACTTGTTTTTTCCCTTATCAAAAAGTTACATGTTACATTATTCTGAGAATATAAGTTTGTTTGAAAAATACAATGTACTTTTTTTCTGATTTAAAGTGATCAGGGCTGCCAAAACCGGTTTGGCTCAGTGGACAGAGCATCAGCCTGCAGACTGAAAGGTCCCAGGTTCGATTCCGGTGAAAGGCATGGACCTTGGTTTTGGGCACATCCCCAGTAGGGGGTGTGCAAGAGGCAGCTGATTGATGTCTCTCTCTCATCGATGTTTCTGACTCTCTATCCCTCTGTCTTCCTCTCTGTAAAAAATCAATAAAATATATTTAAAAAATTAAAAAAATAAAGTGATCACTACCGACAGCCAGCCTGTGAGCTGACCAAGCAGCTGCAGATGTGGGAGCACTTGGCGCCTTTCTCACAGCCTTTCCCGCTCAATGATCTGCACATGTGCACACGATACACGTGTATAGATTGCTCTGCTCTTTAAAATAAAATTCAGACCTAACCATTATACCAACAACATACTACTAGTATGACAACTATGTCATCAAATAATATTTTAAAAATTAGTGGCTCCATAACATTTTATTCCATGGTTCTAATATTGTTTATGAACTCTCAGTTTTGACAACTATATTTAAACCAAGTTTACATGCTCAGCATGCAGACAAGGGAGGAAAACTTGTTACTGTTCGAGTTGGGTCCTATAAAGAGAACGCACCACACACTGACACAGACATTTCACTGTCTCCCATTGCTGTGCGTATTTAGCAAAATAAACAAGTCGGGGTGTGTTCTGTCCTCTGCCCTGGGGAGTCCCTTCCTCCTGACCTTCAGGCTCTCCCTGGGGCTGTGCGTGTTCCTCCTGCCTTACCTGCCACGGTGTAACCTTCCTTCCGTCCCTCTCCACCCACCACTGAGCTTTCAGTTCCTAAGCGATCTGAAGGTGGGCCTTCATTCATAGTTTTGTATCCCTGAGCACAGATCATCCTTCGATGCTACTATCGTTTGGGTTAGTTACTAAAGCCCAAGTAGAGGCTCCTGCACCTTTAAGGAGACAATGTTCTTGACAACAGGAGGGAAGAGGGAGCGAGACCTTGTTGGGACCCTCCTTCTTCACCATGACGAGCTTCGCGGGCCGCTGATGGCGGCAGGACGGCACACTGTTTCCCACAGTGCTCCCTCCCTCTCCGTGTGACGACGTGTAAAATGATATGTCGACTGCAGAAAGAGCTTTGTGCAGCCTCTGTGCCAACCCGCACAGCAGTATGTTCAGATGTTCTACGAAAAGCAAGGTGGAAATTAATCACAAAACAATGGCATGTCTGCATCCCATGGCGCTGCTTGTTAACCTGGAAAGAGCCTGTGAGCAGAGAACTATAAGCTAACACTGAGCTTAAGGGCACGGCTTGCCCATGGACAGTAGAACGAGCATCCAATCAGGCATCAGACTTAAACTCCCTCCTAACAGAACCACCTGTAACACTCAGAGTTTAAGAGAAAATAAAAAACTATAACTTAAAACACAGAATACTTTTCCCATTTTTAAAACAATCTGGATCTGATACTAAGTTACTGTCACGCTCGGGAGTAAATATGGGTGAAAACACACTCCGAGGAGAGTTTGCCACGAAAGCTCACACGGCAGAAACCGGGGCACACCGCCCACCCCGCACAGAACACAGACAGCACAGCCGTACCCACGAGACAGGCGGTGAAGACCTGCTTGTAGTGCGCGGGAGACCGGAAGGAGGCGGGCACGCGGGTCCGCCTTCGGGGAAGGAGAGCAGACCACATCTCCCGCCCACTGGGGAAGCACAGCTCAGAGACGTTTATCTCCTGCAACGGGAGTCACTCAGGTTAATACAACAACTAAAAATGCTGATTACTAGTGAGTAAGTTATTTCCTATAGACATGTTCAAGAAAATAAGCAATTTTTAAATTTTTCCAGAAACCTTGAAAATAATTTCCTAAGTTTAAATGAGAAACCAGTAATGGGGAGAATGGCCATGGGAGGTACTGTTACTAATGGGACTTTTTTTTTTTTTTAATATTGATTTTTTACAGAGAGGAAGGGAGAGAGATAGAGAGCTAGAAACATCGATGAGAGAGAAACATCGACCAGCTGTCTCCTGCACACCCCCCACTGGGGATGTGCCCGCAACCAATGTACATGCCCTTGACCGGAATCAAACCTAGGACCTTTCAGTCCGCAGGCCGACGCTCTATCCACTGAGCCAAACCAGTTTCGACAGGACTAACTTTTCTTGTAGGCCCCTCGCTAAGTTTTAAATAGTTTTTGGGAGAAAAAGTTAGTAGATGTGAGTGGATCACTATCTTTGCTACGATTGTAAAAATTGCTGCTTGGCTAGTGTGGCTCAGTGGTTGAGCTTTGACCCATGAACCAGGAGGTCATGATTCCTGAACAGGCAGGCACATGCCCAGGTTTCAGGCTCAGTCCCCAGTAGCGGGCATGCAGGGGGCAGCTGACAGATATCTATCATCATGTATGTGTCTATCTCCCTCTCCCTCTCCCTCTCTCTTCCATCAATAAAGATATCTTAAAAAAAAAAATTGCTCACGTGTGTGAGATGTACCTTTACCTCAATGATAATCTGATCAATGAATGGAGCTGAGAAAAATAAAGTCATAGTATGGCAGTACTGCGGGTGGCGTGGAACAGTCGGATCAATGGTTAAGAACCACTGTGGCCCAGGCGGGTGTAGCTCAGCGGTTGAGCATCGACCCAGGAACCAAGAGGTCACCGGTTCGATTCCTGGTCAGGGCATATGCCCAGGTTGTGGGCTTGGATCCCCAGTTGGGGGGTAGGGTTGCAGGAGGCAGCCAATCAATGATTATCTCTCATCATTAATGTTTCTATCTCTCTCTCCCTCTGGAGAGATAGCATCTGGCTAAATGTTGCACCAGATGCTTCCCAATGTGGAATTTCTCTTAACACTCACAACTACTAGGAAAGACCTTAAATCAAAGCAGATGTTATAGAAAACTCAAAAACATAAAGCCTTGCCAAAACCGGTTTGGTTCAGTGGATAGAGCGTCGGTCTGCAGACTGAGAAGTCCCAGGTTTAATTCTGGTCAAGGGCATGTACCTTGGTTGTGGGCACATCCCCGGTAGGGGGTGTGCAGGAGGCAGCTGGTCCATGTTTCTCTCTCATCGTTTCTAGCTCTCTATCCCTCTCCCTTCTTTTCTGTGGAAAATCAATAAAATATATTTAAAAAATAAATAAATATAAACTGACTCTCTCCATTCCACAATTCATCCTTTAAAAAAACACACATAGCCATCAGCTCCAAGAGTAAATCCTTTCTCTGTTGAAATTCAGACCAGGCCTACTGGGAGCACTAGGACACGTCCTCACCTGTGAGCCGGTGGCACAGGCAGACTCTTCCCACACATCCCGAACGTCCTCGGCCTTGGATGCAGACTGCAGCCGCACAGACAGCGCTTTCCTGCGGCAAACAAGGTCCCGGGCACCCGCGCCCTGCTGCTGCCGCTGCCGGAGCTCGCCCCTCACCCTCTGCAGAGGCGTGGGGCCCGAGGAGCCGGCCCCGGCATCGCTGCGTCTCTCACCTGCGTCACCAAGACACATCCCCATGGCCGTGGCAGGGCAGCCATCCGTGCCACTCGCCTCCGCTGGGCTTGGAGTCGGCAAGGCACACGGGGGCGTGCTTTGGTATTTCAGCCACCTGCTGTGAGCAGACATTCGATGGAGAAGTGAGACACCCCCTGGGGGCGCTTCCATGGACACCTGACACAAAAGGGTTTCACTCTGGTCCTCGGGCCCGGAGCTGGGAGGAAGGACGGCTGGCTCCTCACACAGGCTGAACGGGGGAGATCCAGGAGGCGGCTGCCAGCCCCGGGCGGCACAGGCCCCAGGGTCACGGTCAGGTGGCCCAGCAGCTGGGGGCACAGTAGCGAGGGCAGCGAGGGCTCCACTGACTAAAGGAAGCCTTGGAAGGTGCTGGTCCTCCAGGGAACTGAATCTTCCCATCCCTGGAAAAAAGCCAATTATTTAGAAGTGTATTAAATCATTGTTGAGGCTCTAAAAAATTGTGGGTATCTACACAAAACAGAAAAAAATACTTTAACGTGCCTTTTCAAAATCATTTATTTCTTTTTAAAATAAAATTCTAATGGTTTTAGTCTCAAGGAAAGACTTCAAAGATGAATTAAAAGACTCTGAGCCTGGCAGGTATAGCTCAGTGGCTGAGCACGGACCTATGGCCCAGGGTCTATTCCCAGCCAGGGACCATGCCCAGGCTGTGAGTTCTAGCCCCGGTGTGGGCGAGCAGGAGGCAGCTGAGCTATGATTTTTCTCTCATCATTGGTGTTTCTGTCCTCTCTCCCTTCTTGTCTGAAATCAATAAAAATATATCTTAAAAACATATTTTAAGAAAAGACTAAAACTATTTTAAGGTTGATGAACTTGAAACTTTTTCTTTTTCCCTTCAGCAAACTATTTCCCCCCAATTAGTACATTCTATTTACATGGCACCGACTTTTTCAGAGAACTTTCAGTCAAGAGGGGAATCATCACCCATTTCACGGACGAGATAATCGAGGCCCAAAGGTAACAAGACCAACTGGCACTCAGGATGAAAACCCAGAGAGACTGTCCTCAACTTTACATTCCTTCTCCAGAGACTGAAGTTTGGGGTTCGTTTATCCTTGTCACTGTAACTTCCTTTACATATTTATTACACTCACTAATTAATATGTTGACCGTAAGGGGAAAGATTTTTAGCTTTAGTTTGATCTATTGGTATGTGATACGAGTTTTGGCAAATTTTGGATGAGTGTAATAACAGGTAGAGCGCTGAAAAGGTAGAAGGCAGTGATGTGAATAAACGAATGGTGAGAACATATAAGCTTAAGTTTTACCAGATGGCGCCTTTTCCTGTTTGATAACAATGTGCCTCCTGGGAGGTTTCTGTTTTTTGGAAATAAACTGGAGTTCACTTGGGAAGCTAGAAAAGCGGTACTCTTTCAATAAGCAATCAAGCAACACGATGGAGAAGGTAAGGCCGGGGAAATGCAGCGGCTCCTGGTGCGACTATGGAGACACCCATCACCCTGTCTCAGGTGACTCCTCCGTCTCAGGTGACTCCTCTGCACTGTTTGCTCTACCAGCCACACCCACGAAACCTGCTCCAAACACCCAGGCACATTGCAACGCTTTTTCATATCCACCCCCGACAAAGTCAGCCCATGCCGCCGCCTCACCCAGAACTTCAGGACTAGGAAGATGCACGGAGATCACGGGAGAGGACAGGTGGGGAGGTCCTGCGGAAAGCAGGGTTATCGAGAAGCGAGCGCCACTCTCAGGGAGGTCGGGGTGCGGGAACCAGGCCGGCACGCCAGGGCAGCAGCAGCTGGAGCGCTGGCTGAGCCTGCCAGGACCCCAGAGCAGAGGAGGGAAGCCCGTCATGCGGGTAACTGATGGCGCAGACCAGACACTCCTGCAGAGGGCGGACTCTGGGTTATGCTGGGGTTCTGGGTGCCCAGGAGCTGAGAGGAACCAGCGCCAGAGGAAGGAGAGAGCCACCTGCCACAGGAGAGCCCCGAGGCAGGCAGGCAGGCAGGCGGGGACGGCTTCAGGACGGCATGGGATCTGGTCCAACGTGTTCTTAGCAGGTAGCCATCTCTCAAACAGAAAGCTTCCTTTCACGGCAGACAGACATGAGCTTCTAGAACAACTGTGCAGGCGGAGGAAGGGAAGGCCACCTGGTGAAGGTCTTGCTTGCAGGGCCCCCTCGGGGACTTCTAGCAGGAAGGCCTCATCTTGTGAGCGCAGAGAGAGAGCGGAGGCGGGGCTTGGTGCTGAGCCCTCCTGTGCTGGCGGGGGCACCTGTCCAGAGAGAAACAAGGCTGCAGACCGGAGGCCTGGCTGCACTCCCAGGCTGAGCGAGCCAGGGATCCACGGTGACGCCGCCTCGGCCACACCATGCGGATGGAGTGCAGTGGGCAGACTCTCCCGCAGGACAGGGCAGGAGAAACTCACCCAAATCAGCCAGACCAGGGCCCAGTGATAAAGGCCCCAAGGGCTGGGAACCCTGAAACTGTGGATTACTAGTTCTGCTCTGAGACATGCATTATTACACGGTTTTTCTAGAAGCTCTGCATCTACCACGAGAATGGAACACACTGTATGCAGACCTCAGGCCCGCGGTGGGAAGCAACACAGCACACTTCGCGGTGCCTGGGCCAGCCTGGCTTGCTGGCACCCGCTCCAGCACAGCTGGCGCTCACTGCTCCTGAACACGCACGTGCTGCCGTGGGTGCTGGGCCCTCAGCGGAGCCTACAGTGCCAAACTCAGACGCTATCTGCAGGAAACCTTCGTTGACTTTCTTATGGTATCCAAACAGGTAACACTGTGATCGCAAAGAGCCCAACTGACCCAAAACCACGAATCTGTAAGAGTGGCTGGTTTGGAAGGAGACAAGCCAGAGGGTGCCGGCTGCACAATTCCACAGGCCCACGGGCTATGGTCTCTCCCACGTGCCCTAGAGCAGTGGCCGGCAAACTGCAGCCAGCCGAGGTTTGCCACTCAGTTGACTAATGGGTTTGCCGACCACTGCCTTAGGGAAAAACACTTAAAAAACATTTTAGCTATGTACTAATGTCTTTAACCTGAAGTCAAAACGTCTGGGTAAGGGTAATGCCTTAGCAATGGTCAGCAAACTCATTAGTCAACAGAGCGGCAAACTGCCCTAGAGGCGATTCGACCTGATGAGTGATTTGGCATTTCTTCCATTGGCCCCGAGAAAACAATTCATTTATTTATTTTTTAATATATTTGTATTGATTTCAGAGAAGAAGAGAGAGGAAGATCGATGAGAGGAAATCATGGATTGGCTACCTCCTGCACATCCCCTTCCCCCCAATGTGTCCTGATTGGGAATCGATCAGAGACCTCTTGGTTCATAGGCCAACGTTCAACTATGAGCCATACCTATCAGGCAGAAGGCCCGTTTCTGAGGATTAGCACACATGTATTCTTTTCATTTCATTCCTGTCTCCTGTCCAAGTGAAACGATTGTCACTAAGACCATGTACTTAGTACTTACTAATATACTATTTGTTACTTAAAAACAACACTTGAAAGTGAACTACAGAACCTAAAACCTGTTGGGTTTCCTTGAAACATGACAGACTCTGACTTGAACTGACTGGGTCATGGGGTTTGTTCTGAGGATCCATGTCCAGCCTGAGGGGCTCAGGCCGAGACGGCCTGTCCGGAGCAGGAAGACCAAGGACTGAGCAGCTCCCATGATGTCCTCAGTGCCCTAAACTTCAAGGTACCGCTCCCAAATGAGTGACCTTTTTGGATATGTCACAGAACTCAATAGTCATCTTCTTTAGGAGTCTTTAATTTTGTTGTCGCTTCCAGAGATCAATCATCTTAAAATCTAACATGGCTGATGTATGGCCCCCAAATTCATGTGGAAGCCAAGTGCATGTGCCTGTATTTGGAAATAGGGCCTATAAAAGGTAAAAAGCTAAATGAACTCGCAAGCTAAGTGAGAGGCCCTGATAGGAGAGAATGAGTGCCTCCTCTACCCCCTCCCACACGCCCGCTCCCCGCTCCCATCCACACACACAAGGAATGGTCGTGTGAGTGCACAGAGTGGGCAGCCACCTACGAGCCAGAAGAACTCAAGAGAAAACCAAATTAGCCAGAACCTGGAGCTTGGACTTCAGCCTCAGAAATGTGAGCAATAAATTTATGTAAAACGCGCGGGCTGTGGCCCTCTGTGCAGCAGCCAGAGCTGACCGACATCCCTTCCCTTACTCACCTGGGAACCACCTTGGTCCCCCACCTTCAGAATCAGGAGTCTCTCTCCCTGTCTTCCCCCCCACCCTCCACATCCAATCCAGCAGCATCCACTTCTCCTCCGAATGATACCTGTGTCCCTGTCAAGTCCTCTGCACGCTTCCTGATACAACCTGCACTTCAAGTCGCTGTCACTCGGGCTCCCTGCTCCCCCTGCCCACCCACCAGATCCCCCACGGCATGTAAATCAAGTCTCGGGACTTTGTGCTGACGCCCCTTCAGGGACAACCCCACACTGTTACCCTCACAGGCAGGACTTGGTGTGCCTGGCCCGCTCCTAGTCCCCATCGCCTCCCCTCTCACTGACCGTCAGCTGGGGGCGCCCACCCACCAGTTCTGCAATCTCAGGGAAGCAGGAGGCCTTGTCCCCTAGAAGTGAGACAGGAAATCCTGCTTCTGGATCGTGTGACTAACAGAAGATGCCTTGTGGGCATGTGTTCACGACACCACATGGATGTTCGCAGCAGCATGAGCCATCAGAGGCATAGATGAGCTGGGGGCATACAATGGCCCACGCACCAGCCCAGAGAACGAGTAACCTCACCCACAGGCAACAGCAGCGATGGATTTCAAGACTGCTTGCTACTTATATACAACTTTAAAAGCAAAACGGAGAGGGGACTGCTGGAGGCTGGTCCTGCCGTTTCCTAAGGATGGATTCGCTCTGAGATCATTCCTGTGCTTATTCTGTACATGTGTAGTGGTTAATAAAAAGGAAATTTAAACATCTTCTTAACAGACACTGCTCAAATACACCCAGGCATGACTTCTACGTGGTAGCAATGCGAGGGACTTGGTGTCATACTTGGGGGGGAAATAGAAGGAAAAAAAATCTACCAGCTGCTAAACCACATGTGTCAAACACAAGGCCCGCGGGCCAAATCCAGCCCGCCAGGCCTTGCAATGTGGCCCGCACTGCGCTGTCATCACTGCACTCCGCTGCGTTTCCATCACAATGACAGTTTATGACTGTTCAGTAAACCAATTGGGCCCGCGATTTAGGCTGGATTTTAGATTTTGGCCCCTTCTCTGATTGAGTTCGACACCCCTATGCTAAACAAATGTAACCTGCCTGTACGCTACTGTCATAAATTCCCAGTCTTCTCTGAAGTGAAAAGTGATCTTTTAAATTCCTAATCCTACAAAAGCAATAAATCTTCCACATAAAATGCTTTGCCCTATTTAGTTTGATTTGAGATGTTATGTTTCTTGTCAATTTACTGAATTCCTTTTCAATTTACAACTGTACAAAGATTTAAACACGCTCCCTTTATAAAATTTAGCACTGACATACCGGAAATGATTTTGGGAGATGCAACTAGTATAAAAAGTTTTCTCATGGGGCGAGGGGGGGAGGGCTAGAGGAAAAAGGAGAGCATATGTAATACTTTCAACAATAAAAATTATAAAATAATAAAAACAAAAACCTTTTTACCTGCAAGTAGTCAACTTGCACACGAGTGCGAGGCAGCTTGGTTGCCCAAGCACAGGTGTCGGCCGTGGAGCTGTTGTGCTCGGGGTGACCAGGGAGCTGGCTACACTCCAGCGGCAGGCAGTGCCCTCGGACCATCACAGCACTGGTCGCAGATCCCTGCACTTGATGCCCCTGGAACTCAACAGGCTACAGGGAAGTTAGTAACAATGGGTACAAATGTTTCACAATGTAATTATACCTAAGTCAGCTTTCTGTTAATATTTTTTTTTTTTTAATATTTTATTGATTTTTTTACAGAGAGGAAGGGAGAGAGCGAGCTACAATAGAAACATCGATGAGAAACAGCTGCCTCCTGCATACCCCCTACTGGGGATGTGCCTGCAACCAAGGTACATGCCCTTGACCGGAATAGAACCTGGGACCCTTGTGTCCGCAGTTAGGGCTCTATTAATATTATTAATGTAAATAAGGACGAAGGAACTTATGCTCTTATCCTACGACTTGCTAAAGGTAACTGAAGTGCACTGATTTAACTGGGTTCCAGTTCAACAGCAACAAGTGTGAATTTTATTATGACACAGAAGTGCACTCCTAATGAGCTAACTGAGCCAGGAGCACACGGCTGCCCCTCTCTCTGCCCTTCACCGCCCACTGCAGGACGTCCCACTGAAGACGTGCTGGTCACTGCGGCCAGTTTCTGCTACCGGAACCAGCTCTGCTGGAGCACCCGAGGACAGGCCCTTTGCTTCATTGGTGCCCGTGAATCCTCACACCAAGCTTGGCAGAGGGGGCAGCAAGAAATACGACAACAGAAGGGGAAGGGACACAGGGAGCGCTTTTCCTGAAGTTTTGTAAATAATCAGGCTTCACTCCGAGGATCTGCCTCCCAAAGATTTTATCCCCTGCTTGAGAGCAAAGGCCTGATGTGACCCCAACAGAGGCAGCAGGCTCTCAGGCTGCAGCCTTCTCTGCTGCCCCCCGGAGGGCGCTGGTGTTGTCACACCAGCCCGAGCCTCCCCAGAACTGGAAAAGTACTACCGTGTTTCCCCGAAAATAAGACATCCTCCGAAAATAAGACCTACCACACGGAAAGATAAGACATCTCCTGAAAATAAGACCTTGTGCAACTTTGGGAGAAAAAATTAATATAAGCCGAAACCAGTTTGGCTCAATGAATAGAGAGTCGGCTTGGGGACTGAAGGGTACCAGGTTCGATTCCGGTCAAGGGCATGTACCTTGGTTGCAGGCATGTCCCCAGTAGGGGGTGTGCAAGAGGCAACTGATCGATGACTCTCTCTCATCGATGTTTCTAGCTCTCTATCTCTCTCCCTTCCTCTCTGAACAAAATCAATAAAATATATTTTTTTTAAAATTAATATAAGACACTGCCTTATTTTCGGGGAAACAGGGTAGTAAGAAGGCTAATCGTGCCAAAGAAATGTACCTAGAGGACATATTTATTCCTAACTGACAAATGAACAAAATGACCATGAGGCAAATGAATATTCTTAGTTAAAAATGAATATTCTAAGTCACACATTTGTAAGGAAAACCAAATCTAAAATGTCCCAGGACTTTTGTTGGCAACATTACTCTGAATTTTAAAAACACACATTCCAATGTACAAAGTCTGCTGTGCTGGGCGAAGGCAGTCTCCACTGCACAGAGGCCTTGTTCTCTGTGCCTGCGGCTCCCTCCTCTCCTGGAGTCGCTGGGTGTAGGAGTCATCAGCTGGAGGCCAGGCGGGGTGTGGCTCCCCAGTGCCCCAGTGCTGGGCTATGGGCCCTTGTGTGGGCGCTTCGGTCCCGGCTCTGAAGAGCTGTCATTAACTGCACTTCACAGCCCTTCACGGCCTCCTGTTAGGCCACTAGTGACACAGAGGGCTCAAGACCAAACACAGGTCAGAAGCCTCTCGTTTCTCCTATTCTTAAGCCCAGGGAGGGGTACGCATTATCTCACCAACCTCTGCCTGTGAAAACTCTAAAGACTGTAAAGAACCACAGGAAAACACACTCAGTTAGAAAATCAATGTTCTTCACAGGTTTTACCTGAGGGTCCCAGGTTGTTCTCTCCATCTGTGTAGGAGTAACAGCTGGAAAAATGGTCTCTTCTCCACTTTCCAAGGAAAAGGACTAGAATAAAAGACCAGTAAGTATGTTAAGAGTTTGATGGGAAAATGCTCCAAAACTGGAAGTTAGGTTTGCCCTTTGAAAAACACTTGTCATTTCTATCTCCCTCCTTTCTCTCTAGACATGTAACAAGCCACCACTGACAAAAGGTACCTCTAAAGGAGGCACCATGCTAATTAACCTTAAAACACATGGGAAAATCCTGATTCTAAAACTTTAATTGAACCTTTAACACTAGAAAAAATTACTGGGTACAGTATAAATCAGTCATCAAACCTGAAGCTGATGTTAATGAGAATTATTTAATTCAAAGATTAGTATGAAATTAAAGGAGGAAAAACTGTAAACAGTGTAACAGTTTATTTAAAGGAATCATCTAGCAACCAAAAAACACAAGATATTGACAACATTTTAATTTCAAGACAGCTGTAGTGAGTGTAGTAAGAAAGTAATTACAGAAATAAAGATTAAAATTTTACTTTGGAAGACTGTGAGACCTTTCCCATGACTGTAAGATTACAACAGATTTCTAAAAACATATGGGCTAACGTGGCTTAGTGGTTCAGTGTTGCCACCAGGTCAGGGATGATTCCCAGATAGGGCACATGCCCCGGTTTCTGGCTCGATCTCCAGTAGGAGGAGGCAGCCAAGTGACGTTTCTCTTCTTTCCTTTCCTCTCTCTCTCAAACCAAATATATACATAGATGGCAACTTACTCTGGAGGAAATACAGTGATGGTGTTTATTTGCAGTTTATACTTGGTAATAACTGTCCTTGAAAAAGTTTAAACATATTTTTTCCAGTGGGAAAAGAACAAGAAAGTGATCACTTGTAAGTTATATGATGCAATTGCTGACTGCCAATGATCCTATCATCTACGGTGATAATGCCCAAGTCACCACAGCACGGATTTATTTGTCCTGCTTGGTTTTAGGCAGCAGAGCTGTGAGTGCAGCTGTAACCACCAATGACAACGTGTGGATCAGGTGATGCTTGTGTATTTGCAAAATTAGCTTAATGAAAAAGACTATTTACCTAATCTTATAGACAACATGGAGCATTTACACAAAAGACAGCAGGTTCAGCCAATGAGTATATCTGGTAAATACAAGTAATTTGAAAACTGACAGTGTAAAAAATAACATAAAATTATACGCCATGTCCACATGCACAAATGTAACTTTGGCAACGTTGCGTTTTATAAGTTAACTCGCCTGCAGAGACTGCAGTGGTCCACTTTGGTCAACGTCACTTTCTCTCATCATCATGGAGGCAGAACACTATTATAAGAGAAACCAAAGGCAACAGCAAGTTACAAACAGCATAAAGTTTGTATAAAGTCTCACATATATGTGAGAACACCACAATAATCAAATGAATAAAAACTAAATTTGATTAAAGACTACTTTCACATTGCAAGAATTTGAAAAGACTTCAACAGTACTGATGACTATGAAGTTAAATATTCATATTGTAAATAGAAAGATTTTTAGGTTTGACAATTTATCTCAAGAACCTAGGAAAAGTTGTTCCCAGAATTACACTTCTGGGAATCCAATCTCAGAAAGTAACTTAAATGTAAACAATGATTTGTATATAAAAACCTTTATTAGCCGAAACTGGTTTGGCTCAGTGGTAGAGCGTCAGTCTGCGCACTGAAATGTCCCGGGGTCGATTCTGGTCAAGGGCATGTACCTTGGTTGCGGGCGCATCCCCGGTGGGGGGGTGTGCAAGAGGCAGCTGGTCGATGTTTCTCTCTCATCGACGTTTCTAGCTCTCTATCTCTCTCCCTTCCTCTCTGTAAAAATTCAATAAAATATATTTAAAAAAAAAAAAAAAAAAACCTTTACTAAAGTAATGCTGTACATCAGGCATGTCAAACTCAAAGGCTAACATGAACCAAATAAACAAGATTTAAGTTTGGGCTGCAAAAAAAGCAAAAGCTTCAATTTTCATAGAAACGTAGGTTTATTTCTATAGAGACATGCTGAATACAAAGGGCTAAAATAAATGAGTAGTCGTTAACATAATAGAACATTTTAATAAAAATATTTTTTCTTGAACATTAATTTACCAGATACTGAATAACTGCACAAATTAATAAGTATAACGCAAGTAAACATATTTACTTGTTTCCTGAAAGAAAAATATTTCCTGTTGTGCACACCAAACAAGTCAGTATAAGACTAATGATGTGGCAACTGGCTGCTTAAATATTCGCTGCTGGTATTAGTGGAGAGAAAAATGGTGTGCCTGCGCATAAGACACTTAAGGCAAATGAATGTAACATTATAGTAATCAGTCGTTAGTTCATTAATAATCCTATATAATGAAAGCCTAATATGCTAAGTGTCCATTCATCTGTTCAACCAAAGTATAATATGCTAATGATATGCTAAGGTTACTCAACTGCTTGCTATGACATGCACTGACCATAAGGGGGCAGTCAGCTGGTTGACCAATCACTATGACATGCACTGACCACCAGGGGGCACACACTTAGACTGATAGTTTAGCTTGCTGCTAGGGTATGGCTGATTGGGACTGGGTGAGACGGGCCAGACACACCCTAAAGCCCTCCTGCTGGCCAACCCCCACATCTCTCCCTGGCTCCAATTGTGCATCCGTGGGGTTCCTTAGCCTGGCCTGCGCCCTCTCGTAATCCAGGACCCCTCAGGGGATGTCGGAGAGCCGGTTTCAGCTTGATCCTGCAGGCCAGGCCAAGGGACCCCGCTGGTGCACAAATTTGTACACCGGGCCTCTAGTCCTATATAATAAAAGACTAATATGCAAATTGACCAAACAGCAGACTGAAAACCAGGGGGCAGATGCTCAATGCAGGAGTGGCCTCCCACAGGGGGAGTGCCACTCAGCAAGAAAGCAAGCTCACAGCTGGCAGAGCACATGGCAATGGCGGGAGCCTTTCCTGCCTCTGCGGCAGCACTAAGGATGTCCAACTGCTGGCTTAGGCCCGCTCTCCAAGTCAGTTGGACATCCCCTGAGGGCGCAGACTGCAAGAGGGCAGAGGCCGGGCAGAAGGATCCCCGAGTGCATGAATTTCATGCACTGGGCCTCTTATTTATAACAGGATATTATAAAAATTAAATCATAAAATTTTTATTAAAACATTTCTTCTATACTGTTATATTGGCTGGGCTGCAAAAATATTCAAGGTGGGCCGCATGCGCCCGTGACCTGTGAGTTTGACATACTTGCTATACATAATCAAAATGCTCAAAAATAGTGATCTGGCCGAAGCCGGTTTGGCCAAGTGGATAGAGTGTCGGTCTGTGGACTGAAAAGTCCCAGGTTCGATTCCAGTCAAGGGCAGGTACCTTGGTTGCGAGCACATCCCCAGTAGGGGGTGTGCAAGAGGCAGCTGGTCGATGTTTCTCTTCTCATCGATGTTTTTAGCTCTCTATCTCTCTCCCTTTCTCTCTATTAAAAATCAATAAAATATATATATTTTTTAAAATAGTGATCTTTTTGTCCAAAGCATAGGGTAACCACAGGATGAGATACTAAATAACCTGTGAAAGATATTTATGGCCCTGGCCAGGTACCTCAGTTTTTTAAAGGATTGTCCCAACATGCCTAGGTTTCAGGTTCAATCTCCAGTCAGGACACATATAGGAAGCAACCAGTGAGTGAATGGGTAAGTGGAACAAATCATTTCTCTCAAAAATAAATCAATTAAAAATAAAATAAAAATTCTCTTTAAAGGAAGAAAGATATTTTTAATGTTTTTAGTAATGTGAGGAATGACAGGTCTGACCATATTTTTTTAAATTTCCCAAAAGCTGGAAATGTTAATAATTAACTCTGTATTTAAAAAAGGGAGGGAAATCCAGATGCAGAGAAAAAAGACCAACAACTGAAAACTAGAGTAAAATACAAAACCGGGACAAGTGGAACATTTAGCCTTTTTCTCAATGTCTGCTCGGAAGAGCAGTGCCATGCACTGAAAGAACTGTCCTCCAAAGGTGCTGAGGGTCCACTGAGCGCTGATCTAGATGACCAATTCCAGAGCTTCGATTCATCCTGGCAGAGCAGGTACTATGTTACTGCCATGGTTCCCCGAATAGCACTTTGGGCTTCTGCAGATATTTTACATCTGAGCCAAGTACAGTGTCACCCAACATGTCAGACACTGAGAAAACTAAGTCAAGGTCAGATCTCACGTTATTTCTTTCAATGACAGCATACCCATGTGAAGCTGGGTTTTAGGAAATTGCTATAAGAATCAGTTCCCATGCAGGAATCAATGTGATGCAAGAAATCTAACCTGGTCCCAGGTTTGAGCAGCTGTGCAGTGCCCAAGTGCACACATACCATTAGAAACTGTGTCTATGCAAAAATAAAACGCTTATGGTAATCAGTTCACAATGTACATATGTACCACTTTACCTTGCATTCCTCCTACTAATGCAATGGTACATGTCAATCATATCTCAATAAAACATGGAAAAAGAAAAAAAAATGCCTACTAAGTTACTAGGACACCAACTATACAATAAGTGAACTGCTGGGTATTTCTTTTGGCCGAGGGATGAAAACATTATTACAACATAAGATACAAGGTGAGGTTATGAACCTAGATTAGCTTGGGATTCTCTATATATTATAATCTCATTATAACTACAGAACATTCTATATCAAAATAAAAGATGGTGATAGAAGAAGTAATGTACCAGTTGAGACTCCTGGTTCAGACGAGGAAACTGTAGAACGGCTGGCAAAATTGGAACCAATGGCTTCCCAGCTATAACAGACAATGCCCAATGATTTTACTCAACATACATACAGCAGTGCTTTAACATTTTACTTAAAATGTTATTTCTAAAACTAAATGAAACAAGAAATAAAATTTAAATTTTAAGATGTGGCAAAGTCTTGATAACTGTTAAAAAAATCTTCAGCCCTAACCGGTTTGGCTCAGTGGATAGAGCGTCAGCCAGTGGACTGAAGGGTCCCAGGTTTGATTCCAGTCAAGAGCATGTACCTTGCTTGCGGGCACATCCCAGGATGGAGTGTGCAGGAGGCAGCTGATCGATGTTTCTCTCATCGATGTTTCTCTCTATACCTCTCCCTTCCTCTCTGTAAAAAAAAAAAAAAAAAAAAAAAAAAAAAAATCGCCGAAACCGGTTTGGCTCAGTGGTAGAGCGTCGGTCTGTGGACTGAAAGGTCCCAGGTTCGATTCCGGTCAAGGGCATATACATTGGTTGCGGGCACATCCCCGGTAGGGGGTGTGCAAGAGGCAGCTGGTCGATGTTTCTCTCTCATCGACGTTTCTAGCTCTCTATCTCTCTCCCTTCCTCCTCTCTATAAAATATCAATAAAATATATTTAAAAAAAAAAAAAAAAAAAAAATCAATGGAATATATTTTTTTAAATAAAATAAAATAAAAAGGAACTGGACATCCCAATAGTGTTGCTTAGTTGGTTGAATGCCGTCCTGTGCACCATAAGGTTGCCAGTTCCATTCCCAGTCAGGGCACATGTTTTAGGGTTTGATCATGGTCATGGCCATACAGAAAGGTAACCGATTAATGTTTCTCTCTCCCACTCATATCTCCCTCTCTCCCTCTCTCTCAGCATGTCCTCAGGTGAGGGTTTTTACTAGTAAAAAGGCACTGGATAAAAACTGTTTTTCCTTTACCATTTTCACCCAGGGGAAAAATTCTAAATTATTAATAGCTTGTTTCAGCTCTTCTACTGTAAACAGTGTCTTTCTCCTAGTCTATTTTCCGATTTTTATCATAGTGCTGTTGGCTGACTTCGCTGTTAATGAATCAACAATTACAGGACTAACACGGGACTTTTGTTAATGGGCTCATGACAACGTTCTGACCTGAGGTCTGAAGGAACCTAATTCTGTATTTCCCCTGAAAGTTATGGCTCATCCGTCACTAAGTGTTTGCAGTGACTTTATGTAACAACTACTGCGGGTAAAGAGAATGACTGGGACCCTCCTTTCCACCTTGATGAGGAAAAGAGATTTCTCAAAATTAAATTCTAAAATTCTTAAATCTTCATAGTAAGAATGTATATCCTTATGGCATTATATAATTACATCTAGCCATATTTATTTTCCAGGCTTTTTCCTGATTTTTAATTTTTTAGAAAACAAACTGTAATGATCATCATCAAATTTAACTACATTTTAAAGAAACATTTCGCAGTTATAATAATTTATTCCTATGTTCTCATCAATTTCTTAAACTAGCCAACTAAAAGATCAATTTTAACTTTTCTTTGAGTATCGTAAAGTACACCATTCACATTCAGGTGTACATAATATTTACTGTCTTACCAATGTTCTGTATTATTTCTTTTTAAAAATACTATTGTTGGCAACATACCATAAGCAAAGTAAAAAGACCAATGATATACTAAAAGAAAATATTTACAACATAGGTGTATCACAGGTAATGGGCTAATACATAATATATAAAGAACATGTATAAATCAATAAGAAAAATCACCATTAAAAATCTGACAAGGGGTGTAAGACATGAAAAAAATATATATACAAATGCTGCTTACATATATGAAAAGTGGGTCTATTTCCTTTGTAGTAATAGAAACACAAATGTAAATGCACTGAAATACCACTTTTCATCCATTAGACTGGCAAGGCTGTGGAGAAACAGGCACTGCCATACATGCCAAAAGGGAGGGCAGGGGGCGGGGCAAGTAGAAATGGTGTGATTGTGAAGTACTTATAGACATTTCCACCCAGCAATCCCAACAATATGCAGAAATCCCACATACTTATATGGACACATAAGGTAACTTATTGTCACATGATTTGTGACAGAAAACACCAGAGACTGGCTGCACAAATGATGGCCATCCACACAGGAGCCTCCTCAGAGCTGTAAACAAAACGATGAGGCCTATGGAGGGGTGACTCCCAGGAGGCACTGCCAGGTGAGAAGCAAGGTGCTAAGGAATAGAGAGCACGGTGCCTCCGTAGAACAAGGGACAATAAGATGCTGTGGAGCTGTTTGTTTGCAAAAGGGGGCTCGGGTATGACACAGAGACTACCTACACACACACACACACACACACGTTTGCTTACGTGTCTTCAGACATGCGGAGGACCCTTCTGGCGGGAACCGCACTGAGCGGGCTGGGGGAGTGTTCTCCTCTCAGCCTATACTACCCTCCATTGGAATGGTTTCCAAGGACATGTAGTACCTATTTGAATGCCATGTGATTCCTTAGTGTAGCCTCCAAAGCCAGGGTCTCCTCACCCTTTAAACTCTAAAGAGAACAATCCAAAGCAGACATGCCATTCTGACCTTCAGGGCTGCTCTCCAGCAGTGTCTCCAGTGTTCCTTGTTTAAAGGCAGAATTTTTCTTTTTCAACACTTCCAAGCCTTCTAAGGCTGTACTGTGTTCAGACAATGACTTTAAAAGGGAAATACTATTTACTAATCCAGAAAGTTCTGAAGAATTCCTAGGAGGATTCCAGTACTGTCCGCTTGCTCCAGCAGTATCTACTTCAACATGGTCAAGGGGTAAACTTGGAATCCCTCCCAAATCTTCAGATTCAGGGTTATGTGCTCCTGTGTCTTTGGAAATAGGACGCTTTATTCCCAGAGGGTAAAACAAAGAATTGGAAACTTGGGGGTTTGATTTATCAAGAGTAATACATTCATCAAAGTGACTCTGACTGGCATTTAATCGTGGGCTACTGCCATCACTGCCAGAGGTTGACATTAAAACCTGTTCATCATTTGGATCTAAGTCACATCCCATAAAAAAAGGCTGAGATTGAGTCTGTTCTGAAAATAGGTTGCTTTCGGGAGTTTGATTAGTGTCTATGCTTAAAAAATGAGGACTATATAAATATGAATTTATACCTTTAAATTTATTCGGGAGTGAAGCAAAATCACAGTGACTTCTGACTTTTTGGATAGGGCTACTAACAGCTGCATTACCTGAACACACATCACCGGTCCACCCTACCGTGGAGTCACCACACCCGGCCACTTCATCTCTAGTGGGTCCAGCTGCACCACAAGGCTGTGCCGGCAGGGTTGCTGGGGTAGGAAACGGCTCTGTAGGTTTGCCTGCAGTAGGCATTAAGAGAGGCCAGGATGCACCGTCATGCTCCTCACAGCGCACACCCTCACATCTCCTCTGAACTCCTGAACCACAGGCATCGGCCAAGGCCTCCCTTTCCCAATCCTCTGGGTCCTGAGACATTTTGTTGCTTTGTTGGGATTCCTCTTCTGTGTCACTGGTTTCAAAATTGTTCAGATTAAAATTTACCTCCAAAACTGGCTGTGTTACATGACTCCCGGGTGCATGAATACTGAGACTTTTACTGTCAGTATTAGCCCTAGAAGACGTGTCAGAAATGGCTTCAGAGATCTCAGAGCTGTCACTCAGGGAAGATTCAGGTTGGAGACGTTCGGATTCTGGCAGGTGAGATAATGCTTGTTTATACTCCCTTGCTGGCGTCCCACACGTATCTATCTCCTGAACATTTTCTCTGGTAAGAAAGAATCTTTTCACGCACACCTGGTCATTTTGATTAACAGGCATTGGAATATTTCCTTGCATGTCAGATTCTGACACTAAGCTATCCTTTCCCAAATTGCCACAGGTAACAGATAAGCTTTCACTGAATGAGGGAATTTCCAATTTTACTTCCTGATCCCAGGATGAATCAGCGTCGTCTATCAGCTTGCCTCCATTAAACTGTTCGACGTTTTCAGCACCTATTTCGAATAACTGGATCCTTTTTTGTCCCAAAAAGTCTCTCAGATTTAAACTGACGTCACCTCCCTGAGCCTGGGCCTGCCTTTCTAGCTCATCTCCAGCTACAGCGGAACGAGCAGGTGAAGGCCGTGAGGATAAGCACTCAGCCCAGCGGCTGTCACTGCTCCCAGTGCTTTCCGGTGGTGGCTGGCACTGCAAGCTTTCTGTTCTCCCCGCAGCACCTGCTCCCTGTTCTGTGAAGCACTCTGGGTTAGCAGGGACTTGTAAGCTTTCCTGTGGTTGTACTTTAGGGACAAGACCTGACATCTCAGCGTCCACTTCCTCAGACAGACTGGCTGGCTTGGACTTCAGAAGAGCTAGGATCTGTGCTTTGCTCCTGATGTTTTGTGTGACTCCTAAACAGCGAGGTGCCAAGCGATGTCCTTTCGTGGGCTCATCAGGCAGTAAAGAAACGGTGGCCTTGACTGCAGAACTGACAGGAGAGCAAAGATGACCCTCCTCCCTCAGCCCCTTGGAGGGGGCAGAGCCAACGGGAGAAACCGGCAGGCCACTCCTCCCGCTGTCCTTGCAGACGACGAGGCTCCTGAGGTCTGCTGGCACGCTGTTTACTTCTTTCCTGCCAGCAGCAGAAAACAGAGGTGCGCTCGAGAACAGAGAGGGAAGAGCAGGGCCAGGGGCTGCAGCCTCAAGTGACACGGCTGATTCACCATTATCCATAGTAACCATTTTCTTTGGCTCTTGTCGTGGACCTTGAAAACCCTAAAAATATTAAAACAGTTATTAGCTGTTCTATTGCCTACAAAGAAAACATGCAATGTACCAGCTGGGAGAAAAAAAAAAAGAAGAAAAATGAATATGTATGTTTTGTAAGGTAAAGTAATAATATATAAAATTCACAAAGTTGAAATGTAAACTCATTTTTATTAAGATTTCTCCTAATTAGGGTTTACTTTCTACCTATGCATACACTATAAAGTACCATATTAATGAGATTACAACAACTTCAAAATTCACGACTTCTTGAAATGACTTTCGGGTACATACTGATTCGTTATTTTCACAGAGAAACTTACAGTAAACTTCCTTTTCAAACCTGCAGGCTGACACCCGAGGGACCAGCCGCAGGGCATGGGCCGCAGCGGACGGGGCCCTCGTGCTTCCTGAATGTCCTCCTGGCTAACAGCTGTGCTCCCAGCAGCTCTCGCCTCCTCCACTGTGATCAAGTATCGCTCACTTTCTAAGTCGTCTCCAGGTTTTACCTAGATGTTAAAGAATAAAAGTCAAAATCGCACACACCTAATTATTTGACGGTCTATGAATTCTTGTAAACTTATAGCACTAGTAAGACACAATGGATACTTAATAAAGTTATTGGGTGACTCAATCAATAACAAGTTCTTTACGTATTATTATGTACTAGTTAAGTACCAACACGCACAAAAAAGAACAATAATACAGCAAAAGTTTAACTAATTCATTTATTCAACAAACATATGAGGGACCTAGGTGAGGTCCTTTGTTACTTGCTGGGGATTCGGACAGGAGCAAGAAAAATATGCCTCCAAGGACCTCTTTTAGAATCCATACAACTAAATGCAATTTTTAAAAATTAGAGCTATTAAATATCAACTATGTATCTTTAAATATCACAAGTTAAATACTACTATAAATTAGTAGTTGCTTAAACAATTGTATTCCAAAAAAAGAATCTTAATCACCTAAGTATAGCACTTGCCACATCTGACTGCAGTATAAAAATAATCAACCTACTTGATAAAAATCTGTGTATTTTCACAGATAATATGCTTAATTAGTGAAATTATCTAAATGAAATAATAACAATAGTTACCACCACTCAGTTACATATTAAAACAGTGCTTTTAGACCCTCTTTAGATAAATATAAATACCACAAGCACTATTAGTGTCATATAAAATTTAAACGTAGATTGAATACCAAGGCCCGAACCAGCACAATGACAAGATGCATCATAGCACTTCAGAATCATTGCACTAACGGCTGGGCACCTTACAAGAGCTCTTCCCAGCACACAGCCAGCCCAGCCCAGCGTCTGCCCACGCCTGTGCGTCACAGCAGAGTCAGGTGCCAGCTGAGCTGCAGGAGTATCTGAAAGTGGGAAATGACCTGGAATGCACAATCTGTTATCCTTACTCATTGCACTAAAAATGCTTTTAGTTGCTCTCCTTTTTCCTCCAACAGGGAAAAACACGGGATCAATGCATGAAACAAGATTTTACATAGGAATAATTCCACAAAACAGTTCCCTCTGTTGTTCTCTGCCTATCAAAACCACATAATAGAGTCGGACTAGAGTCACGCCTAGGCTCACCGCAGGCCCGCCAGAGCCCCGCTAATGTGGGCAAGCTACCTAAACTTCAGAGCGGTACTCCTAACCTGCAATCACAGGGCTATATAAACATCAAATCAGACATATAAAAGCTTTTAGCACAGAATCTGGCTAATAATAAATGCTCAGTAAACACTAGCTATAATTATTAGTATTAGTATCTTGATTATACTTTTTAATATTCTTAAAAAAATATTTAAAGAGATACCTTAAAACATAACTTAAAACTAAGTAGACAACCATGGCCAGGTAGCTCAGTTGGTTAGAGCATTATTCTGATACACCAAGGCTTTGGGTTCGATTCCCCATCAGGGCATATATAAGAATCAACTAAAGAATGCATGAATGGTGGAACAATGATCAACATTCTCTCTCCCTCTCTCACTCCTTCCTCTCTCTAAAATCAATAAGAAAAAGTTAAGAAAAATAAGATAAACACATTAAAATACCTTAAGCCGCGTCAAAAATAAACTCTCCAAGCATTCTCCTTTGTCATCATATAAAATTGCCTATATTAAAACAAAATAAACATTAAAATGGGGCACAACGTAATTCTGCTTTTCATAAATATCTTCAATAGAAAATCTAAGACTGTTCTGTAAGTAAACCATGTAAGGAAAGGATCACCCAGCCAATGTGGCTCAGTGATTGTCAACATGTGACCCAGGAGGTCATGGTTCGATTCTGGGTCAGGGCACATGCCCGGGTTGCAGGCTCCCACCCTAGTGTGGGGCGTGCAGGAAGCAGCAGGAAAGGACCACCCACTTTGTTAGTTGGGTAACACAGTGTGTCTGTCTGAAATGTCCCCTCCTCTGTGAAGAGAGCTTCAAAGGCACACACAAGAAACTAAAAAGTTAGTCCCTACCCAGATCTTGGGGTGGAACTGGGAAGCGCCAGAAGAGGAATGTGAGACACTGCTGCAGTCTGGGGGAGAGCAGGATGGAGACAAGGGCTCGCAGGAAGTCCCTGTGTGTGAGGTACTCATAGAACTTGTGCTTGGGGACAAGGAGAAAAGGAAGCCAATGAGATTTCTCCTTGTGTCTCTGTAGCCATTCACAGCAGTTTCTCACTAGCCCTTTAAATATTGCTGTTCCCATCACTTTGGGAGTTTGACAGTTCTTTAAACAATTAAACACAGAGCAATCCCACAGCTGGGTAGGTAGAGAAATGAAAACATGTTTCCAAATAACTTGCACACAGATGTTCACACTAGCATTATTCCTAAAAGCCAAAAAGTGGAAACAACTCAAATGTATGTCATATGATGAATGGATAAGGAAAATCCATACAATAGAACAGTGTTTCCCAAAGTGTGGTACGTGTACCCCCAGGGGTATGGGAAGAGTTTGGTGGGGGTATGTGTTGCACCGGAGTTTGGTGGGGATATGCACTGCACCATGCTTAGCTGCGCCTAATTCTACATTCTCATGAGTATGAGAGGTACTCAGCGTTACGAAAATTATAGAAGGGGTACACATATGTCAAAAGTTTGGGAAACACTGCAATAGAACATTACTCAGCATTAAAAAGGAATAAAGCATTGATACAGTCAACATGGACGAACACTGAAGCATGACAACAAAAGAAGCTCGCAAAGGTCCTCAAGGTCTGTGACTGCAGTCACGTGACAGGCCCAGAACAGACAAAGCTGCCGGTAGTGAGCAGATCAGTGGTTGGCTAGGCTGGAGTCACATACTGAATACTGACTACCAATGGGTATGGGATTTCTTTTGAGTGAGTGACAAAAATGCCCTAAAATTATATCGTGATTGCAAAGCTCTCTGAATATACTTAGACTCATTGAACTGTCTACTCTAAATGGGAATTGAAAAGTGTGTATCCCGGCTGGTGTGGCTCAATGGCTGTCAACCTATAAACCAGGAAGTCACAGTTTGATTCCCAGTCGGGACAGGTGCCAGGTTGTGGGGCTTGATCCCCAGAGCCGATCAATGATTCTCTCTCTCATTCTTCCTATCTCACTCTCTACCTCTCCTTCCTTTCTGAAATCAATAAAAAATCTTTAAAAAGCAAAGTGTGTGAATTGTATGTCAGTAAAGCTGTTAAAAAAAAACTGGTGTTTCCAAGGATTCTCTCCTCTCCCCTTTCCATGCTATCCCCGCCCTGAACATCATCACCCACAAACATCAGTTGCTGTCACGTTTCTGCTCCATCCTCCCCGAGTCACCATAGCCCCACAGAATGAGAGCACAAGTCCTCAATGGCCAGGAAAGCCCCCGGAGTTCCAATCACATGTCCATTCTCACCCTTGCTCCCCTACTCCTGGTGGTTTGCTTAACCCACTGGACATGTGGTCTGTGTCCTCCATGTGACTTCCACAAAGTCAGGGGTTTGTCTCTGCTCCCTGCGGCATCCCTCAGAACGGTGTGTAACTCAGAACAGAAGCTCAAACACTGTTGAGCAAATGAACCAATGAATCCACTCCAGGAGCTGCAAGCATCACCAAAAGCCACACACTCCTCCAGCTGCCAGGACTCTCCTGAGTCCCAGGCTTCCAGGCCAATTACCTGAATGTTCCCATGACCGTGAAATTCAGTACGTTCAAAACAGAACTCAACATCTTCTGAGTTCCCGCCAACCTGGCGCTCTTTTTGGAGACACCCTACCTAGTATATTAATCATACAGAAACTGGAAACTAATTTTGGAGTCTCCTTACCTTCCGTATCGAGACCTTAAGACTATGATCGTTTCCTAACTTCTCGCTAGTCATCCCCCTCTCACTGTCACCGCTTAGTCAGTCCCCATCACTTTTTGTCTGTATTACTGCTGTCCCTTCACTACAACTGTTTCCCAAAGTCCAGTCTGACTTTCATCCTTCGGAACTTAAAAGTTCTGTTTGACATTGTTGCCAAAATAATTTCCTAAAATAGAACATGGTTGTCGCTCTTCTGCTGTTCTTCCCTGCTCCTCGAGCTGCGCTCTCCGTCCATCATGATGTGGCGGCTGCCACTGCCCAGCAAGGGCCTCACTCCAGCCACAACCTTCGCCTGTAGCCCCCACACTGCCTGCTGGTCTGTACCTCTGTGTTGTAGCTACAGCATCATTTTCAGCCCCTCTTCCCTCAACCTATCAATTTGGTGTACAAGGCAAACCCTTCATCTGGGAAGACTCCTAAACCAGAGTCAGATTTTGATGTTTCTCCTTTGTAATCAGAGCCCTAAACATGTATGTGTACATGGTATGATCTGTATGCTCTTAGATAAATTCCCCCAAAGACAAAAACTACAAAAGTTACCATCCAATGCATGCTCACAACGGGCCACTTTGTTTAGGTTTACATGTTTTCTCATTTAACCCTCTGGACAAGTTCACAAGGTATCACTGTCCCCATTTAGAAAGACACTGGAAGCCTGAGAAGCTAAGTAACTTGCCAAGGTTACGCACCCACCAGGTGAAGAGCCAGGCCGCCAGCGACGTCTGCCTGGCATGACAGCTCTTTACGCTGACTCCATGGCTGACCTCTTTCCCCACCGCCGACCAGCAACATGCTTGCTGGGCGATGACGCCATTAACGGGAGAGAGAAAGGTTTGGATATACAGACAAAAGGCATTATGACAGCAAGAGAAGCACTGCAAGTAGTGGCTGAGGACAGACTGATGTTATTACCTCTCCTGGGTCAGAGAATCTCTGGTGCTACCTTGAATTCATCTTATTTTCTTATAACCTACCAGTATGAGATGCACAATGAACACAATAAACACATGTGACAACTGAAGATAAAGTTAGAGCCAAAACCAGTTTGGCTCAGTGGATAGAGCGTCGGCCTGCGGACTGAAAGGTCCCAGGTTCGATTTTGGTCAAGGGCATGTACCTTGGTTGAGGGCACATCCCCAGTAGGGAGTGTGCAAGAGGCAGCTGATCGATGATTCTCTCTCATCGATGTTTCTAACTCTCTATCCCTCTCTCTTCCTCTCTGTAAAAAAATCAATAAAATATATTATTAAAAAAAAAGATACCCCTAACCTGACCTAGTATGATTTTGTATCACAAGAAGACATGATGGATATTCAGAATCCAATTACATGTATATAAAAGGCTAAGCTCCAACCAACCTATCGGCCGGTACATATGACACGCACTGGCAATTTAAAAATAAACACTGACTCACGCATGGTGCCAATCACATGTGTATGCTTCGATCTGTCATTGTCAATGGTGAATTTGGTTGACACTTCTATTATAGAGAAAGGGCAAATAGCTATATTAAAATATTTCTTCTAATTAATTTCCTTTCAATGTGCATGAATCTGTGCACCAGGCCACTAGTTTTAACTATAATATAAGACTAAATCTATAGTATTTTGAAGACTTGATCCTAACCAAAAAGAAACTATTACACAGAAAAACATCAAACAGTGAATGAATGTATTAGTTTAAGATAAATGAATAAAAAAAATTTAGGAGGGAGAAGGCTAAACATTCATCTGTTTAAATGAGAAGAATTAATCAATGTTACTCCAATAAATTCAATTTTAAAAAGGATAGTAACATTACTTGAACGTGGAGATGTCCAGTATGGGACTGACCCTCTCCACATGGCATGGCCTCCTCGTACAGACTGCTGTTACTGAAACTAAACACAGCTTTGGATTCTGTCTTTGGTTGCTTTGCACTTACTTTGTTTCCTAGGTGAGCGATCTTCAAAATCCCATCTTGCCACACTTTTGACTTCTTAGTCTTCTGATGAGTATACAGTACCTATTTCCAAATACAAAGTGAAGAAATGATTTCTATCCTATATAATTCCTATGTAATAAAGAGCTAATATGCAAATGGTCATCACGCCCTCACGCCATCACACCATAACGGCTCAGACACTCAACACTGGGGAGAGATGAATGGGAACCAGACAGACACAAATGAGCTCACAATAGAGTAAGGGGGACTAGCCAGGCTGTGGCCTGTGGCGCGGTTCTGGGCACCAACAGCTGCGCCTGCGGCCAAGGGAAAGCTGCACGCCTACGGTCCACTGCGGCTGCAGCCAGCCAGAGGGAGGGAAGCCCGAGTCCCAGGTGTGGGATGAGGCAGAGGTGGTTAGGGGCGATCAAGCCAGTAGGGGAGCAGTTAGGGGCAATCAGGCAGGCAGGCAGGCAGGCAGGCAGAGGTGGTTGGGGATGATCAGGCAGGTGAGCAGTTAGGAGCCAGCGATCCTGGATTGTTGAGAGGCAGTCAGATATCCCCCAAGGGGTCCTGGATTGGAAAGGGTATAGGCCAGGCTGAGGGCACCCACCCACCCACCCCCGCCCTGTGTATGAATTTCATGCACCGGACCTCTAGTGTATACATATTAAACATTTCATATTTTATACCCTTCTACCAAAAAATATATTTAGGATATCTTTTACCAATATAAAAGCACAAACAGCATAACAATAACAAAAAAAAAAAATCCAATGAAAAAACAAACTAGGAAATAAAGGCAAGTGGGTGGAGAAAGGAGAAGTAAATTCTAAATAAAAACTGAAGGTAACTGGTAATAAAAGTAATTTGGAGCTTCTCAGTCATCAGTGGGAAAGGGAAAATGTGTTGGGTTCACAGCACTCATGGTCTGTGCAGTTCTCCAAGGGCAGTCCAGAGACGCCTGCAGGTCCCCAAGACGCCTCACGGGTCTGTGAGGGCAGAACTATGTTTACGAATCTACTTGCCTTCTCTCTCATTCCTTCAGGGAAGCACGGTGGAATTAAGTGCAGGTTATTTATGTGCAAGAATGTAAGATTCAATTTCAGATTTCATGCAGAAGCAGAGAATTAAATCCAATGTTAAAAGGACATGCAAAAAAATGTACATCGATGCTACTCTTGTCAATGTTTCTTGATTATTGTTTTGGAAAATATAGCTATTTTCTTTAAAAAATGTAATTTATGTTAAATCTAATGAGTTTATTATTTTTAGTATATGAGTACCGTATTTTTTAAACTTCCTGTTATAATTTCTAATATGAAAGACAGTGACATTAATCCCTATAACAAAAAATTATTTTATATAATCGCCATAATCAAAAGTCCACAATAATTTTCAAGAGTAGAAAAAAGACCAAATAATTTGAGACTACTGATGCACATGTGGCCTGTCAGTTCGTCAAAAGAAAAGATTATTTCCTGGTCTCATGCTTCCTGAGATTTTATTCCAAAGGACTTTGTGTAACAAATGTGAATAGGTGACAAGAGAGAGGGCTGCCAGTTAAAATACAGGGCAACACTTGAGACATACACACTTATACTAAAAAACTTTCAGTTTATCTAAAGTCCACATTTAACTGATTGTCCTGCTTTTAGGTTTTGAGTTTTTGGAGGGTTTGTTTGTTTGAAAGATTTTTGTGTCTTGTTTTGTTTTTTTCTCCATCTGGCAACTCTAGCAACATTTGTAAAATGTGGAAGAAAAAAAATAGTGGTAAGACTTACAATAAATTCTTGGCTTTCCATTGTTTCTTCTGAAGTTATAAACCAGTCAGGTCCAGAAATAATCAGTGGTTATTCAACTATTTATAACACCTAAACTGAAAAATGACAAAGAATATTCAACTCTGACAAAATAAGTATCAAATACAATTTCCTCACAAAGAGAAATCCGAGTTCTAACTCTCAAGGGAAACAGGTGCAGTCACATTACCTGCCACTGAGGACACGTGAAAGGAATGTGTCAGTCAGAGGAACGAAGTAGAAATGAAGTAAGTGCTGAGGAGTCGACACCAGTTCTCCCCAGGGCCTTGGATGTATCAGAGAGGATTCCCCTGCCCCACTGGGTTCCTGATAGAACGAGCTTGGGTTTTTAGTTTCTGGATTGCTATGGTCACCACAAGAGGGCCCCCTTGTTTTTTACATGTTTCCTTTTACATCTTTTTTTTTTTTTTAATAGAACCTGGGACCCTTCAGTCCGCAGACGCTCTACCACTGAGCCAAACCGGTTTCGGCTCCTTTTACATCTTACAGTCAACATACCAGTACCCAAGACCAGATATATGTAATTCCTCTGCAAGGAAAAGGGTCTTTTCAATGCTGTGGCAATGAGTTCTGTAATTATTCCATGCCACGGGATAAAATTATTGTGGGAAAATTTGGAAATCTAAAATCATTGCTGGCAAAGAAGTGAATAGAGAGGATAAAAGAAAATTATTTTTTTTCCCCTAAAGCCTTGGTTGCAAAGCCATGACCTCTGGACCGACAGCATCGGCATCAGCTGTAAACTAGAAATTCAAATTCTTGGTTTCCACTGACTTACTAAACAGGAAGTGTGGGGTCAGGCCCCGCAATGTCTCAAGTGCTAGTGAAGCACGCTTGAGTTTGGACACCGGCCCTAAAAGCCCTAGGAGGGGTTCCATAAAGCTTCGACCTGCGGTTCCGGGTTCCATTTCTCATTTACACATGATAACAGATCACCTACACATTACTTACAAATTTATTTGGCTCTTACTAGGTGTCAAGAGTAAAATGTGGGGCATGCAGGAGGCAGCCAATGAATAATTTTCTCTCACCGTTGATGTTTCTCCCTTCCTGTCTGACATCAATAAAAAACAAACTTTTTTTTTAATGTGACAGGCAGGCAACCCTCTTGGGTCCCCTGCGCAGGAAGCTTTTCTGTAGTAAAACTGCTTTTGTTTAAAAAAATAAATAAATAAATAAATAAATAAATAAATAAATAAATAAATAAATAAAAGGTGGCCCTGGCCGGTGTTGCTCAGTGGTTAGAGCTCAGCCTGTGGTTCTGGGTTCGAGTCCCGGTCAAGAGCACTTGCTCCATGGCCTCCTCCAGACAGATGCAGGCCTTTCAGAGCTATAACCCCATATCCTGCATTCTAGGCAGGGCGGTGCAGGACCGTCCCCCAGCCCCCGGCTACCCACACCTACCAGCCAGCAACTTCAAGGCCGCCCCCCGCCCCGCTAATGGGCTTCCCACGGGCTAGGGGACCCCTTTCCCGGAGGACCACGGAAGTGAGGCGCCCGGCACGCCCACGTGACTGTGCCCTCAGGACATGGCGGCCTCTGTTCCCGGGTTTGTGGTCTTCCTCCCCAACCTATCAACTGCCAGAGCCACGAACCCAATGTCCTGCCCAGAAACCACATCCCGCGCCAGTGTGGCGCCTCGGTTGAACTTCGACCCTTGAACCGCAAGGTCGCGGGTGGATTCCGGTCAGGGCACTTGCAGGAGGCAGCCCATCCATGGTCTCTCTCATCACTGATGTTTCTCTCTCTCCCTTCGTCTCTGAAATCAATAAGGAATATTTATTTCAAAAACCCAAAAACTACAATTTTTTTAAAAAGCCACATCACAATAAGGAGAAGCCCTATCTCATTGGCCGAGACCTGTGTAACCGGTGACGGTGAAGACGGACCCTCCCACCTCAAACATCGGGGGCTGCGACCCGGGACCACCGGCTGCAGGGCGTCCTCACCGGCCGCTCGGGGCGGCTCTCTCGTCCCTTCCCCAGAGCAGGAACGCCGCCTCGGCTCCGCGCCCTCAGTCCCGGGAGCCGGGAACCGTCCGCCTTTTCCAAGCCTCACGCAAACCCGCTTCCAATTCTCCCGCCAAACGTCGTGACGTCGCTACCGGGCCACCAATAGCGCCAGCCCAACGCTCCGCTCGCGCCGCCGACTCCGCCCGCCAATCAAGCTCCTCATTGGCCACATGCCCCGAGGCCCCGCCCCGCGGGCCGCACGCCAGAGACGTAGCGGCGCACGCACCTCGGAGCGTCTAGGAGGCGCCCGGAGACCCGTGTCGCGCGTCCTATGACGCTTCACATCCTCGACCGTGAATTTCGGGAGACGGAAAGGGCTGGAGGACGCAGGCTCTGGCCTGTGTTTTGGAGACTGAACGGAGTAAGTTCCGAGGGGACTCTGGGGCTGCCGAGGGGAGCTGAGGTCCGTGCGCCCTGCCGTCTGTCTCCCTCGTGCTCCGCCCCTTCCCGCCGCCCTCGAGCCCGTCAGTGCGCACGCGCGGAGTTGCGCGAAGGGGCGGCCTCTGTGGGGGGGGGAGGGACGCGGAAGTTACGTTGCGTCACGGACTTGCGCTTTGGCGCTAGGGTCACGGAGGAAGACCCGTGTCCTCTAATCCAGTCCTTTTTTCCTAGGACCCGGGCCCTCGACCTCATGAGCGCTGCGTGCGGGCTTGGGGCCTCGCGCACCTGCTTGGGGGCCGAAACGGGTCCGAGGGCGGCGCCCCGCGCGGCAGCCGCAGCCCGGGGATGGGTCCAGGCCTTGGAAGTTGAGCCGAGAGTGAGGAGGCGGGCCCCCCCGGCTTGGGGTTCTCGGCCTTTGAGCGCACCATCACCCTTAAAAACCATCAGGCCATGGATGGGCCTCCCAGGGGGAATGCTTACAGGTCTAAACACTGTGCACACAACTTGTCAGCAAAAATTGTGAGCCTTCGGAATGGCCTGGAGAGGAAGACGCTGGCTGGCTGGTCCAGTGCTCTTCCCAGGCCTGGGTGCCTCGGGGCCGCTGCGCTGGGTGACTCGTGGAAGATGGTAGCCGCGAGTGGGCCTTGAGTTCATTCTGCAGTTATTGCCCTGACCAGTTTTGCATCAATTAACGAACTTATTTCCGCCTTCAGATACATTGCTTATATTCGTGCGTCTGGTTTTTTAATTTTCCTTTGAACTGGTTTTAGTTCCCAGGTTAAATATAATACTTGAAAATCGTGGACATGTGTTCATTTTGTATATGTACAAGACTAGTGACTACCTTTTCATTAAAATGTATCATGTAAGAAGTTCATGGGATCCCCAAGAATTCCTAAAGGCCTCCAATTCCAGCCAGAACACACTGAGGCGTGGGGGCAGGTCCCCCAGCTCCCTGTGCTGTGTCCTGTCTCGGCCTCCAGCCTCTGTATCAAGAAGTTGAAAGAAAACCGCTTGTGGGATTGTAAGGAGTTAAAAATAATCTGTGTGAACTGATTGGCGCTGTCAAGTTTTATTCCTTGTTTAAATCCTGTGTAGAAGCCAGTTAGCTGTCACCGCTTCATTTAACAGTTTTTGGAAAATGCGAATTCTGCTATAAGATGGTGTTAAGGAATTTGGAGTGAATGTTTTAACATCCAAGTCACCCAGAGAAGTGCGTTTTAGTTGCACGGCTCCTGGGAAGAACGGACGCCGTTCGGACAGTTTATAAACAGTTCCGTGTTACAGTGACCGTGGTTGCAGAGAACACTGGATGCACATGAGAGCCGTTCCCCGGACGATGCTAGGACATGGGGACAGATTGCTAAACGATAATGGTTCCATGTTACTGAGTGTGTGCTATGTAGCAGCTATTTGAAGTGCTTTATGCACACTTTTTAATATATTTTTATTGATTTCAGAAAGGAAGAGGGGGAGAGAGAAACATCAGTTGTGAGAGGATCATTGATCAGATGCCTCCTGCATGCCCCCACTGGGGATGAGTCCAAAACCCAGGCATGTGCCCTTGACCAAAACTGAACCCGGGATCCTTCATTCCCCAGGCCCATGCTCTATCTACTGAGCCATACCGGCTAGGGCACATATACATTATTTTGATTAATCTTCATGAAACCCTACTACATAGGCATGGTTTTTATCCACATTTTATACAGCTCATAGAGAGATAGTGAGATAATTTGCTCAGAACCCACATGGCTAGTGAATAGTTTGGCTGATTAACTCAGCAGACATGGATCCTTCAGTAAGAAGAACAGGCCTGAGTAGGAAAGATGATGATTTGGAATGGGATGGTTGTGTCAGCACACCTACCCTGTTTCCCCGAAAATAAGACAGTATCTTATATTAATTTTTGCTCCCAAAGATGCGCTAGGTCTTATTTTCAGGGATGACTTATCTTTCTATGCGCTAGATCAGGGGTCTTCAAACTTCTCTCATTATGAGAATCACCTGGTGGAGTTGTTAAAACACAGATTCCCAGATCCCAACTATAAGAAGTGCTATCAGGAATCTGTGTTTTAACACCTCCACCAGGTGATTCTCATAATGAGAGAAGTTTGAAGACCCCTGCGCTAGATCTTATTTTCGGAGAATGTCTTATTTTCAGGGAAACACAGTATTTGTTATCCCAGGATGGTGGCAAGTAGGCGTTGAGGATCAAGCAAGTCTGTGTAGCTTCGGGTCTTTCCCAGCTGCTGTGTAGGGACGGTAAATTGTGCCAGGTTGTTGCCTTCTGTTTAATCCATGGCTTCCTCTAAAGTAGGGGTGTCGAACTCAATCAGAGAAGGGGCCAAAATCTAAAATCCAGCCTAAATTGTGGGCCGAATGGTTTACTGAACAGTCATAAACTGTCATTGTGATGGAAACGCAGCGGAGTGCAGTGATGACAGCGCGGTGCGGGCCACATTGCAAGGCCTGGCGGGACGGATTTGGCCCGCGGGCCTTGTGTTTGACACATGTGCTCTAAAGTGAAGGCATGTTTGTTTGTCTACAGAGTACAATTGCAGGCATGTACTGTGTACCCAGGCGAGAGTTTCTGACTTGATTCTCCAAGCCCAATATGGATCCTTAGGAGAAGGAATGAAGAAGGTTCCCTGGCTGAGATGCCAGGACGGTGGGAAGAGTCTGGTGTCTGGGAGAATTGGACTTTCTGTGCTTGTGCAGATCTGCTGCTGCTTCCTCAGAGGGCGGCTTTCAGCGGAGGAATTGGAGAGCTGTTGACCTGCCCTTTGTAATTTCTAGTTTGTTCTGGAAGGGAAGTGAGCCCTGAATCCTGCTTAGTAATAAGCATTTAATTAAAATTCATTTCAATTCTACCCCACCCCTTACGAAAAGTATTTGTAATGCTTAATACTTGACAGTTTGTAAAATCCTTTAAAATACATTGTTTAATTATTCAACAGACGCATAGGTTATGGCCAAGCTCAAGTCCCTGCGCTGACAGTATTTTCAGTCTGTGGGAGACAGACAGGATTAAAAGTGGTGACAGGGGTTGTGTTAGGGTTAAGGTTAGAAGGAAGGGAATATATTCGATTTGGTCAGAGAGAAAGCCTCTGAGCAGGTGACCTTTGCAGGGGCCTGAATGAACTGAGAAGCAATACCTGTGGATGTGCAGGCCTTGAGGTGGGAATGGCCTTCGCCTTTAAGCCCCATGTCCTGGTGGCCATGAGCCTGGAAGCAGTTGTAAGAGATAAAGTTAGACACCCCAGGGCAGATGGACTGGGGCCTTGTAGGCCTCCGTAGGGCTGTGGGTTTTATTCTGTGTGATCTGAAGCCGAGGGGTTGTTTTTTTTTTTTTTTTTTTCTGATTGGGATTGCATTTAATAGATAAGTTTGAGAAGAATTGACATCCTAAACACATTGACTTTTCCAATCAATGAATATGGGATAGCCCTTATCTTGGTTGAAGCCAAGGGTTTTGTGCCACAGGCGGACATGCCCTGCTCTACATTCTTAGATGCTTGTCCTGGCTGTCGTCCGGTGGAGGAGGCGGAAGCAGGCCTTTGCTTGGGCCCTCTGGGCACGTGCTCGCTTGGCCCTCATGGTCCTGATGCTGAGGAGTTGCCTGTTTGCTGTGAGGAAAGGATTAGGACATTCAAGGGCTTTGCGCTCTTGCTGTTCTTACTTGGGTTTCTGAGGTGTGGGACACTAGACAAAACCTAAGTTTGTTAATACTTGAGTTCAACTTTTCCCATTGTAAACTTGAGATGTAGTTCAGATAAACAAGTAGAGACATCGCCCAGACAGTTGAATGTTAGAATGGGGAGCTCAGGGGAGAAGTAAGGGCTGGAGAATTCAGGTGTAAACTAAATTGTAAGCATAGAGTCAAGCAGCTTAAAGCCGGGGCCCTCGGAAAGGATTCGTGTGAGTCAGAGGGAGCCCAACTGAGCCCAGGGGGCAGGGAGAGGGGCCAGAAAAGGGACCCTCCTCAAGCTGCAGGAGGAAGCGGCCTCAGGGAATCCACTCCAGCTGCTGAGGGTCAGAGCGGATCTGATGTGTCTCAGGTCACCTGAATGGCCCCTAGGACACCTGATTGTTTCTGATGACTAGCTCTGACCTGGAGCGCCATCTGTGTGTGATGTAAATTAATACACGCCTGCATTAAAACCCACACCAAGAAGCCTGTGCTAAGAGTGCGAGTTCTCTCTTGCTGACCTTGGAGAATGAAGGGGCTCTGCCCACTGTCCCTGCATCTGCTGCCCTCAAGGACAGGTCCTTGCTGAGACTGAGGTGCAAATGGGCCTCTTTACTGAGCTTTTCAGGAGGGCACAGGCAGCACAGAGAGCAGGGCACGTTCTCCTGCCTCAGGGCGGCCTGCCCGTCCCAGCACTTCCCAGGCCGCACTGCCCCCACATCCACTGCCTCACCTGCCACTGGCCTGTGGCGTCCACTGAAAAAGGCCAAAGTGTTGAGGTCACTCTGGTACGTGAAAGCTTTAGCCCCCCTTTACCTTCCAGTCTGTTATGTCATTCTGGTCATGCATGCCAGCCAAGAGGGGCTAAAGAGACGTGTGCCTTAACTCTCCTGTTTCCAAGAAAAGCATTTTACGTGAAACTGGTTATTTTCAGGCAGGCTGCATCATCCCAGACCCAGGTAAGCCTTTGCTTGTGTGATCATTTGTGTGCAAGTACCTCTAGTGACCTCCTTAAGAAGACAAAATTCAATCAATGAACGTTTGAGTGACTATGTGCCAGGGACTGGGGATGGATGCATCAGTAACTAATACAAAAAGCACTGATTCCCTCCATCCCACACTCTAGGGAGGGTACAGGACAAACAAGTAAACTGAGTGGGTGCAATGGGCAGGAAGGGTGGGGAGACAAACTGTCCAGAAATGTGTGGTTTTAAATACAGTTGTGAGGTCTAAAGACCTCACTGGAGAGGCGTTTGAACAAGACTTCAGCAAGGGAGGGAGCAAGCCATGTTGCCTGGGAAGTGTTTCAGATCAGAATCCAGAGCAGCCAGAGCAGTTATTTTTAATAACCCCCAGCTGGAGCCCAGGGGCAGAAGAGATGGGGGGCGGGGAGCGCGCATAACTTGAAAGGAGGGGGTTGGGAATTGGTACCTAAGAAGTAAATTCTGGATGGGATGGTCACCTGAAAAGGGCTGATTCTACAGCTTACCTGTTAACTAAGTGACAAAGATTTTATATAGAATAATCTAGTGTTGCAGTTTAAAAGGCCTAAAAAGTAAAGCTGATTTAGCAAGGTATTCTAAAGCTTAAAATTTTTAAATGAACTGCCAGCCAATGAAAGTTTATTCAACTGATTAACTTCTATTACCAGACTTACACATTTACTTCTAATTCACAGGAATGGAAACTGAAAGAGGAAAACCAGAGAAGGCGATGGAAGCGGAAAGTGCTGAAAACAAAAAAGAGGTAGAGAAAAAGAAGCGGTCCCGAGTGAAACAGGTGCTCGCAGACATCACCAAGCAGGTTGACTTCTGGTTTGGAGATGCAAATCTTCACAAGGATAGATTTCTTCGAGAACAGATAGAAAAATCTAGAGATGGATGTAAGTTTGCTCAGTATATAATGGAACCAATTTTCAGCTGCACTGCCATTGATTTGCTTACTTGTTTGCTTCTGAAATAGTATGTTTCTATTAATTGGTGTACCTGTGTAGTGTCTTAACACTATTCTTTATTATTACTGTTTTTATACTGTGCTATATACACTATATTATATATATTTTAAACTGTGCACACTAGACTTGATTAAAAGGTGGAGATGGGGAGGTAGAGGGTGCGGACATACATGGACAGGAATTGTGCTCCTATGAAAAGACTTTTTAAAAAACCCAATTAATTCACCCACCCACTAGAGGCCTGTCCCAAGAAAGCATTTTACAAATTACAAAATCATAAACTTTTATTAGTTTTAAAGGAGGCATGTAAGAATTCGAGTGGGATAGGGATTTTCAACCATGACTGTAACAGGAACAGTTTGAAATTTCATTTATTCTCACTTTTACATTTTTATTAGATGTTGATATATCACTTCTGGTGTCTTTTAACAAAATGAAAAAATTGACCACTGACAAAAAGTTAATAGCCAGAGCACTGAAGAGTTCAGCTGTTGTAGAGGTAAGAGGTGGTTTTCTATCCCATAAATCCCCGCAGTCACACAAGCTTCAGCCCACTGACTGTGTGTGCTTTGCAGCTGGACTTGGAAGGCACCAGGATCAGGAGGAAGCAGCCTCTGGGGGAGAGACCCAAGGATGAGGACGAGCGGACCGTGTACGTGGTAAGCCTGTCCTGGAATACAAGTAAGCACATGATGACCGTGAGTACGAAACAGAAGCATTAACAACGTAACTAATTTATTGTAGGAGTTACTTCCCAAAAATGTGAATCACAGCTGGATTGAGAGAGTGTTTGGGAAATGTGGCAATGTCGTTTACGTGAGTATCCCGCACTACAAGTCTACGGGAGACCCGAAGGGATTTGCCTTTGTGGAATTTGAGACAAAAGAACAGGCAGCAAAAGCTATTGAGGTAGGTCCAGAACCTAAAAAGAAAAGAATTAGCAAAAGAAAATTATCACGCGTTTTAATTAGACAAAATTTTTGCCGATTTCATTTCAGTTTCTTAACAACCCACCCGAGGAAGCACCAAGGAAACCTGGGATATTTCCTAAAACAGTAAAAAATAAGCCCATTCCTGCCCTGGGAGCAGCTGGTGAGTGTGTAAGTAAACATACTGTAAGTGGATGCACATGCAGCCAGGGGGAAGCTGATGGCAGCATTGTTACAGAAGAAAAGAAAAAGAGGAAGAAGAAGAAAGGCCGGGCAAAGAAGGAAGACAGCAGCCAGGCCAAGGAGGCCCGCTTGGACACAGGCAAGGAGAGCAGCACCGCGGAGGCGAAGGAGCCCAGGGCCACGTCGGACGGCTCCGAAGGGGAGGGTGCTGAGCCCCAAAAGCCACCCTCAAAGAAGAAGAAAAAGCGGGCCAGAGCAGAGGCGGCCGGCGTTCCTCCAGTGCGAGCAGAGAAGAGGAAGCGAAGCAGCTCGCAGGACGCAGGGTGCCCGGCTCCCGCGTCCAAAGTCCGGAAGACGGCCCAGAAGGCCGGCCTGAAGGCCCCCCAGGCGGCCGGAGAACACAAAGGTGCGCTGGCTCTTACCGGGGGGCCCGGCAAACACAGCTGGTGTGGCCCCTGATTTCCGTGTTCTCCTTACAGAGGTAGAGGTCTCCACGGAAGAGGAAAAGGAAGCGGGAGACATGAAAGACGGGTCGCTCCTAAAAGCCAAGCGGAAGCACAAGAAGAAGCACAAGGAGCGGCACAAGATGGGGGAGGAGGTCATCCCCCTGCGCGTGCTGTCCAAGTGAGTGGCGGCGGCGCCGGCCGGCACCATTGCTAAAGTGCAATTCCAGCTTGTCTACAGAGTTGCATGTTAGCAACAGTCACGGCCTGCGCCCAGGTCTGCGCACGGCGGGACTGATGGGTACCAAGCAACAACCACACTAAAACATGGAAGCACTTACTTCCGTCTGTCAAGCAAATGCCTCCATGTTAAAGGGGTGGGTGTTGTTAGGAGACGAAAGAGTTCCGCTCAGATACACCCAGCTGCAGGTGAGGCTGGGCGCCTGGGGAAATGCACAGCGAGACTTACCATCACTGAAACATGGAAGCACTTACTTGTCTTATTCCAAAGCAAGTACATCCACGTTTAAGTGGTGGGGAGCCCAGTCCTGGAGAGCCTTGCACGGCGGACCTGGCTTTAACCTGTTAGTAAAGGGCCCCAAACGCTGTGGGTTTGGAGACGCCTCCACTGAAACATGGAAGCACTTACTTTTCCGTGACACAGCAGGTGCCTCCAGGTTAAAGCAGAGGAGTCCCCGTGGCCTCTGGAGACAGACTGAGTTCCTGTGTGGCAGCAGGGGGATCACTGGACTCACTTCTACTAAAACATGGAAGCACTTACTACGCAGGCCACAGAGAGCATTTCCATGTTAAAGTGGAAGGGAGCCCGCGGACGCTGGGTGGGAGCCTAGGAGGACGAAGCAAACGGCATACCTTTCGGAAGAAAGTTGTTCCCGAAGTGCAGTCCTCCTGGGAAAGCTAAGAGGACGTGTGGCTCCTGTATTTATAGGATCCTTAGCTCTGCATTCCTCCTGCCTTTATCTTAGGGAATCATTAAGGGCCTTTTGTTATTCTAATGACTCATCTTGGGAAGGTAGGATCCTGGGTGGGTCGGATTTTTTTTTTTTTTTTGAAGTCTACAAATGCCACTGCTAACAGCTAAACCCATCACCAGCAGATCTCCTCCTCCTCAAACTCTGCTATCTGCGAGTTTGATGGCCTAGATTAGGGCCGACAATGAGCGCTGCCCGGAGCCCAGAGGGCCATTGTGTTCCTCTCCGGAGGAGCTCAAGCTGTTCGGGGAAGCTTCCACACGTTAAATGCATGTAAATAGGTTGCTTCCAGGGGGTGTTTTTCCCCTCTTAGAAATTCCTTTTCATTCTAGTAAATACTAAGGAATGTTATCTCTGAAATTGGGAACAGTTTAACAAGTAATCCAAGTCATCTTTAAATTTCAGTCCATCCTTTTCTCCCAGAGACAACTGTTTTAGTAAATGTTACCAGTTAATTAACTCAAAACCTTCATTTCCAAAAGTCAAATCATTGACGTATACTCAGGAACTGACGTGGCAAATTGAAGCCGGTTCATCTGGGTGCTGCTTGCTGCGTGATGTGAACTCAGAATCATTGTGAGGGGACATCCTTAATCATCTGTTGTTTCTAATGTATTTTTCTTTTATTACAGGAGTGAATGGATGGATTTGAAAAAAGAGTATTTAGCCCTGCAAAAAGCCAGTATGGCTTCTTTAAAAAAAACAATATCCCAAATAAAATCGGAGTCAGAAATGGAAATAGACCGTGGAGTAACTAATAAATCTGGACTGAAAAATGAAAAAAGTAAAGTTATAGTTTTTTTACCTTATATTATACACTAAAATACTATTTCAGAGTTATAGGATGAACTTTAATTTTTAGAAACTTAATTATACAATAATCATTACAGAAATTACTCATTTGGCAAGTTATTCAAATGTGAGACTTATTCTTGATATAAGAACATTTGAAGGGCTCATTTAAACAGTATGTTTTCTAATTAGTTATTTAAATTTTCTCTAGTTCTCATTGTTAGATTTAGTAATGAATGTCTACTTTATGAATTAAGTTTGTAATTTAATTACAAAGATTGTAATTTCACACTTGTAAATTTATTTCATAGTATTGACCACCAGCAGAAATAACACAAAATAAGATTCTTAGGAAATTTATATTGGGATATATGTTAAATTCCTATAATGAAAATTAATTTTCACATCTGAATTATAGAATATTTTATAGCACTTCATGCCTGTTTATCTACTTTTATTAGGTACTTTTTGTTTTTTGGTTCAGGGAAAATGGGCATTTTGGGGGGAAGATGTTACAAGTGTTATAAAAGTGACAGTTTGCATTTACAGTAATTACAGTTGTATATTTTATTTCATGGTAATTTGCTATTAAGCAGTGTGATTTTTGACTGGGAGGCCCAATGATCTACAATGTATAACTTCCTTAATTACACAAATTAGGTTACAATAAGTTTTAAACTAAGTAAATTACTTTTAAGTAACCTAAGAAACAATGTTGTCGGTGTTAAGGGCCCAAGTGTTAAGTGACTAAGTGTGATGGTTCTTTCTGGTCTTTTTCTGCCCGATGAGCAGTGAGCAGTGAGGGGGCCCGTCCCCCGGAGAAGGCCCAGGCGGCGGGGCCGCAGTTCACGGCGGGCGTGATTGTGAAGATCGTCAGCCCGGAGCCTCTGCCCGGCAGGAAGCTCATCAGGGTGAGCCTGGGGTCCCGGCTGCTTGTACTCTCCTCCTCAGGGACGACGGGTGGCGTTTGGAAAACACAGCCAACCCAGTTAGAGCCTGTTCCTCTGTGGTCAAGTCCTTGCACGGTGTGATTCCAGAGAGACTGAAATGTGACCGAAGCAGAATCCAAAGACTGACTTCTTGGGGATGGCAGTGCTGTGTGCACATCCTCCTGCAGGCGGTCTGCAGTGTCTGTCTGTCTGTCCGTCCGTCCACGGCGCCTCTGGCGGGTGGCTGTGGACTGACTCTGTCCTCCTTAACGGAGGCGGGAGGCAGCGGAGCACCTCCCTGCGCTCTCCCCGGGGCTTCTGTTCTGAGAGCGGGTTTAGAAGAGGAATGAATGCCACGTGCGCTGATTCCCTCAGCAGTATCGGGTCTGAAATTATCCTAAGATCCAAGCAGCTGCTGTCAGGTTTTGGAACAAGCTAGACTCTAGAGAACTGGTGATTTGTTTTCATTGGCACTCAGCTTTTAACAGACCCCCTCAATATTCTGTTGCCTGAAGACAAAATTGTTTTGGAATAAAAGAGATAATATGTATATTTTTTTTCTTTGCATGAATTTAGTTTATTTTTGTCTGCTAATGAATTAAAATAGAACATTTTTTTCTGAGAGAGAAATGTAGGGTGTTTTGAAAAAAAGCCTTAATTTTATGTTTAACTTTTTAATATTTTCAATTCATGCCAATTGTTTAAGAAATTTGAAACAATTACAGAAAAGTGTAAAGTATTGAAAAACTACAGAAGTTTTGCATGCATGTGCAAATATACTCAGTTCTATGTAATTTACATTGCAAATACTGTTTGACAGTCTGTCTCCTTATTTCACTTTCTCTGATTGACGAACAGCCTTTGTGCACCAGCACAGCAGTATTCTCTCTTGTTCATGTGTTCTGTAGGGGGCAGTGCCAGGTATTATTTACCCTTCGTCAGCCTGCCGCCCAGATAGGTGAGACACTGTCTTCAAACGACGCAGACCTTCTGTGACATAGCCCATGTGTTTACATTTTGACCCTGGCTTTCCTCCTCATACCAGTCACATTTCACCGCACCGCCTTTGAGATTGCTCACTGTGATCAGGTGGAATGCTTTCCTGCAATTCCGCAGCTCACTGACACCTAGGTGAGCTCTCCCAGCTGTGGGTGAGGGTGAGGGCCGAGCTGTGGCAGGGAGAACTCCACACACGGATGAGCGTGGAGATGCTGCTGTGATTGGTGTGGCTGGTTGAGTTGGTTGGTTGGTTTTTCCATTAAGATTTAATAGAAAAATTATTTGGTTTGTTATTTGGAATGCATAGCATAAATTTATATCGATTGAAAAATCTGCATTTATGATCATTGAAATCATAAAATAACTATTAATCAAATTCCTAGTTACTTACAATTTGCTGGAACAAACCTGAACGAGGAGGGTGTTGGTGGAGGTTTGTGCCTTCCCAGTATGATTGCCAGGCTAATTGTCATTCTGAGGTCACCCTGACATAATGGTGGCTGTTTAGTAAATGTCTTTTGAAAGGTACGGAAATTAAATACTGTAAACAGCCACATAAACCAATCATGTAGCTATGCTGCCATTGAAGAGTCAAACTTCTTCAACTTGAAACTGTTTTTCTTGCTTAGTCTCTAAACTTAGTACCGTTAACTAAAGAAATAGGAAGAATGACAAGTAAATTGCTTCTCTCTTTAATTGAATTAGCAAACTTTAGGTACCTCTAGTGTGATAGGCAAGATGATGGGGATGGGATGAGTTAAGACTTAGTTCCTGTTTCTACACACTCACAGGTTTTACATATGTAAGCTTCATTATTAACTAAAAAACTTTTCTCTTATTCTATGATGAAGTAATATTTCCGTGTGTTTCTCAGTTCTGTGTAAATCAGACTTTAAAAATCCAACATCTAAAAGTAACCTGAAATTACTTATGGCTTGAATCTTTGGGTCAAAACTGAAGGGGACGAGATGGATAAGGCCCTGTTTTGGGCTGAGAATCCTTAGTTATTTGTTTAGCTTCAAGAACGGAGACTGATAAATTAAGACCTGGTATAACATTCCTGCATAATCGCCTGTGTTTGCTGAGGGGCCTGCTGTGAATGCAGGAATCTTGTTAATTTGCCCTCCCAGCAGGGGAGGTGGGGAACTTCCCCTGGGTTTGGGTGACAGGACTTGTTAGCAGAGGTTGTTTAGGTATTTCATCAAACAGGAAGAGCTTGTGAGCTATATTTTCAAAGACCCACTCAGGGACCTAGGATTTGTGTAGGTTCAGTGAAACTTTTTTTTGCATGATTTGTTATAAGAAGTTGAATGTTTTCATATATGTTTTAGGTCAGAAGTCATAAGTGTACAGGTGAGGGGTAACACACCTCTTCCCCAGTCCATGGAGGCGCTTTCTATTTTGTTTTTAATCCCAGCCCTTATTCTGACTGCTCCCGGACGGGATGCCCCTCTTGTTGATGGCCGGAGGGTGGGGTGCGCTCTGTGCTCCCCAGACAGGCCTCCCCTCTGGGAGCTGTGAAGGGTGTGGCGGGTAAGGGAAGATATGGTTAGAGGTGGTGCTGAGTGGGTTCTCAGATGTGTCCGTATTAGATTTTAAGAGCATCTGCATGTATTTCAGAAGAAATGGTTAATGGAGGGTAGTTCTCATTTAAGCTTCTGGTGGGATAACATTCTGACATAGCCAGGGGGCGACGTTCTATTCCTATTCCCTCTCTTCTGTGTGGCAGGACACGCTGGCCGCTGTCTCAGAAGTTGTGTATGTGGATTTGCTGGAAGGAGATACCGAGTGCCATGCGAGGTTTAAGTCTCCTGAGGATGCTCAAGCCGTCATGCACGCATGTGCGGAAATAAAAAAGAAGCACTGCTGGAAACTCGAGATTCTCTCTGGTAAAACTTCATGGACCTTCCTTTTCACCAAGCCGATTGGGGGTGTCTGTGTTGCTGTCTGAGCTTGGCTAATGAAACTAGACCCTTTTGTGCTCTTAGCATGTATCAAATTTAAAGCATTAAACTAGGGGTGTCGAACTCAATCAGAGAAGGGGCCAAAATCTAAAATCCAGCCTAAATCGCGGGCCGAATGGTTTACTGAACAGTCATAAACTGTCATGATGGAAACGCAGCGGAGTGCAGTGATGACAGCACGGTGCGGGCCACGTTGCAAGGCCTGGCGGGACGGATTTGGCCCGCGGGCCTTGTGTTTGATACATGTGCATTAAACTTTAGTTCTGTGGAGAGCGTAGTGCCCTGAGTGTGTTTCTCCTATGTGCCTTGTATGCAGAGCTCCATGTTCTGTTTTCCAGGTGACCATGAACAGAGGTACTGGCAGAAGATTCTGGTAGACAGGCAGGCCAAACTGAACCAGCCTCGCGAGAAGAAAAGAGGCACTGAGAAGGTAGCTGGTTGATTTTATTTAGTTTCGTTACTCTTTGCTTGGTCTGGAGGGCTCTGGGGAGCAGCCTAATCCTTTCCGAAGGCTGACTCGCCTCTGAAAGTCACGTGCAGGTGTAAAATAGGATGGTTCGGTAGGAGGGGGCCGGTTTACGTGGCGGGCACTGAGCTTTAGGTGGGGAGGGAACACTTATTCTCTAGATGTTGAGTTACACAAAATTAGAATTATTTTCCCCACGAGGGTGCATGGTTTTCATTTGGAGTTTTCCCTTTGGCCTTTTTCTTTTTTTAACTTGAGTGCTGATGTAAAGCAGTCCTGCTTTCTGGCCGCTGGGTTTTCAGCTGGGTGGCAGGTGATTCTTGAAACATTCTCTAAAGGTAAAAAACACCATGTCTGTGGAATGTGGTCTGTGAGGACAGGAGCCTCCAGAGATAAGAGTGAGAGCCTCCCTAAAATGTGATAAGCTGTGTTACTTTCTCTGAATAGTCAAGTGATATAAACAACTTTAAATACGTTAAGTAATTTAAAGCAAGCTTCTTATTCGTTAATTTTATTTTAAATGACACTGAGTAACTTATTAAACCATTGTTGTTTCTAGTGAGATGTCAAATTTATTATTTTAAACCAAATTATTATACATGTAAAGGATAGTGCATCTTAAAATGCTTAGAAAGAACAGGGCACATAATAACTAAATTACTATTATCAAAATTTTGAATGTATATTGTAAAAATCAGAAAAACCTACTGAGATGTACGTTCTTTGGTCATTGAATGGCACTTGAAAAGTCCTGCTTTCTGTATTCCAGGGGTGATGGCTTGGATTCCTATTTACAAAGTTCTTTTTCCTTAACCTTCCCTCAGCCCAGCCTCGCGGCACCCATTGGAATGTAGATGATGGGGGAGGTGTCCCTGGTCTTTGTGAATCTGTCTCTGAAGGCTGAAGCTGCTGGGGGGCCTCCTTCCGCCCTGGGCCAGGCTCTGGGAGGCGCTAATTGGAAAGCCTGCTGGAGGCCATTGAAATGTTAAAGTCACTAATCCTGAGCTCGGCCCTGAATGAAACCACTTTGTTAAATGATATTTATCTTCCAATTGGTGTGTCATTTCATTTAAATTTTATGTTTGTAGAACTAGAATTAGTGGTTTTTTTCCCCCAGAAAGACCTCATTTTCCTAAGTTTGAGGCGAGGAAAAGGTTCACTCGGGCGTTTTGTGAATGGGCTTGGACCCAGCGAGGGCAGCGGCTCTTTTCCCACACCCTGCCTGCTGCCCCTCGGCCCTCCGCTCCAGCCAGTGGGCTCTGCCTCAGCGAAACAGCAGCCACACAGCCTCGGTCCCGAGGAGTGGCTACACCGGGACTAGTTTGCAGCCACCTTTTTGGTCGTTCATTTTGTTAATGTTTCCCACTGCCCGTTGGCGTTAGCCACTCTTGAGGACCCAGCACGACGGCGCGTAGTGGTGGTAACAGCGCTGTGCGGAGTAGACGAGGGCCCGGGGGCTTCTCACCCACTGGGCTGGTCCTGCGTCTTACGGCCGTCTCTACGGCCTCGGCAAAGGGAGCGGGAGGCCCGGGGGCGGGGCGGTGCCGCTGGGGAGCTGGAGCAGGCCTCGGTCAGGGGAGCTGCGGGTTCCCAGAAGGTTTGCCAGACCGTGAGACAGACCTACTGACTCGCAGGGTCTGCAAGAGAGAAAAGCGCTACCGTGAACCCTGGTCTTCATTTCCCGTCACGGTGCAGCCAGTGGGACTGTGTCCTCAGTCCTGGTGGGCATAGGCAAAGAGGGAAGGAAGCGGCAAAGGCACGCTACTGCTCCACGTGGAGCCCTCGAACAGGAGCCGAGAGCGGGAGGTGGGATGCAGAGCCCTGGCAGGGCAGCGAGAGGTCGGAGAGAGCTGCCACTCGGCCTCCGCGTTCCTCCAGACAGGCATGTGGCCATCACTTGGAGCACATGGTACAAAATGAGGTTCTCTCCTTCCCCTTCAGCTTTTAGGGTATCTCTTAGTATTTTTTAACCTTCATTGTTCAAAGTATTACCTTTGTCCCCTTTTCCCCCCATTAACCCTCTCCAACATGCCCCCACCCCACTCCAGGCTCACCACCTAATCGTCCCTGCCCATGGCTATGGACATACACATAAGAGGTCTTTGGTTGGTTCCCTCCCACCCGCTCACCCTCCCTCTTTTAATTTTGTGTTGCTTTTTATCAAAATGGGTTTTTTCCTTACACACAACTGATAGGGAGAAAGACAAGTGTGAGAAAGAAACTTCAATTGGTTGCCCAGCTCTGACCAAGGATCAAACTCGCAGCCTGACTGGGAATTGAACCTGCAACCTTTGGGGGTGTGGAGTAACATTCCAACCAACTGAGCCTCCCAGCCAGGCCTGTGTTTGAGATTTTGGTTTCAAATTTGTAAGCAAACTCTTGAGTGAGCGCTCTGCCTGCAGTAGCACATGATTCTCGAGCTCAGAGTCTTGATGACCACAGGGCCTGCAAGGAGTGACTTGGTGGCCAGGACTGACACGGGGTAGGAAGCAGCAGCCAGTAGGGTGGTCCTGACCCACAGGTAACAAAAGTGGCCTGCATGGAGTGTGGCTCCTTTTAATTGAAAAGTGGTTCTTAATCTGGAACCAAAGTGGGAGGGTTTTGGATAATTGAAAAGTGAGTACCTATCCTATCTAATAAAAGAGTAATATGCAAATTAACCATCACTCCGTGACAAAAATGGCAGCCCCCATAGCCACAAGATGGTGGAGCCAAGTCCCCTCAGCCTCACTGCTGCAATATCTGGGCCTGTCAGCCCTGCCGGGATTCCTGGGGCCAAGCAAAGAGGCTAGATCTGCCCCCAGACACTGCAGGCAGTGTCCAGACAGCAGGGCTTGGGGCTTCCTTGGCATGGTGGCAACGGGGAAGGCCCAGGCCCGGCAGACAGAATCCGGACAGCAGGGCTTGGGGGCTTCCCAAGAGTGGCAATGGCGGGGAAGTCCCAGACATGGCAGGCAGAGCCCAGGCAGCAGGGCATGGGGGCTTCCTTAGCACAGAGGCGGCAGGAGCACCCCCAGACCGGCAGACAGCCCAGACCGCAGGGCTTGAGGGCTCCTTAGTGTCTCGGTGTCAGGGAAGCCCCAGGCCTGGCAGACAGAGCACCCTGCAGGGCTTCCTTTGAATGGCACATGGCAGCAGGCAGAGAGCAGACAGGAGGGCATGGGGCTTCATCTCCATGGCTGCAGCAAGACCCCAGGCTCACAGAGAGCAGAGAACCATGGGTAGTGGGCCTGAGCCAGCAGTAGGACATCCCCTGAGAGCTCCTGGGTTGTAGAGGGTGCAGGCTGGGCTGAGGGACCATGTGCACAAATTTCATGCACCGGGCCTCTAGTTATGTATAAACCATACCTGATAATTATTTCTGTGATTGATTTGGCCTAAGCCTAATTTTCTCATTTGTCTTCCTCTCGCCCTTTTGGAAATATTTTATTCAAGCTGATGATAGTTGTGAAATTTTTTAGACATAATTATATTTTATTTGTTTTTAGGTATCCAATACATTCTAATCTCTCATTTTTTTTCTCCATAGTTAATCACCAAAGCTGAAAAGATTAGACTCGAAAAGACTCAACAAGCAAGTAAACATATTAGATTTTCTCAATATAATTGAAAAAAACTTTGGTTCACCTCTTAAGATTTCACTGGATGCTGGAGCTGTTGAAGAAATCCATTTTTATTATGCTAGTAATGCCTAATGAACGTTTTTATTAAACCCACATATACTTAAAATAACTTGTTAAGATTTTATCTTTAGAGACAAGGACATTGTATACTAGCATTTTTTCATTAAACATTTTATTTGTTGAAATGCTTACATAAATCTCATTGATTTAGTGAGTGCTTTGAACATTATCATTAATTTCTTTTATATTACTAAAACAATAATGTGCGGAAAAAATCAGTACTACGTTAAGATGTAGTTTAGCCGAAACCGATTTGGCTCAGTGGATGGAGCGTCAGCCTGTGGACTGAAGGGTCCCAGGTTCGATTCTGGTCAAGAGCATGTACCTTGGTTGCAGGCACATCCCCTGTGGGGGGGTGCAGGAGGCGGCTGATCGATGTTACTCTCTCATCAATGTTTCTAGCTCTTTATTCTCCCTTTCTCTCTGTAAAAAATCAATAAAATATATTTAAAAAGAAAAACTGATCCCACGATTTAAAAAAAAAAAAAAAAAGATGTAGTTTAGATAAATGTGTAGGCTCTCACTGTTCTTACCATCTTGTAGCTTTTTCCACTTCCAGTGTCCTGTCAGGCTGATGTGTGCAGACAGATGTGTAATCTTTTTGTTCTGTGCACTGTTCTCTGCCCCTCCGTGTTACCGCTGCTGAGCAGGCCACATGAACTGTTTCCAGTTAAAATGTTAAATTTAAAAAGTACTGAGTTTGTATTCCATAAATGAAGACAAAAATAAAATGCTCAAACGCTATTAATTAACCAGTTAACTACCACACATCCAAAATGGAAACCATCCCCACACACCAAGATATTTTGAATTTAATTGCGTCTATACATACCAATGGCGTTCAAAGGGTTGTTAACGGAAAAAAAAAACATTGAAACCTGTAAAGAATTTTTATGAGTTTATCTGAGCCAAACTGTCGACATATGCCAGGAAGCAGAACCTCAGTGGTTGAGATGATGCTCCAGAGACTGCAGGGTTACATCTATATTTATACATTGCAATCAGAGGAAAGGGACATGGGTGACATGAAATTCATTGGTGATAGATTAGGGAGGTCAGCCAAAGGGAAGCGGGGAAACCTCTGGGATAGGGTAAAAGGTGAAATGATGGACATGAGCTTCTTTCACAGAGATGGATACAGGATACTCAACAGTTGATCAACTTAACAATAACCCACAACCTTCAGACCAACTAACATAATTAACAGTTGACAATTAACTTGATCACAGCAATAATGAGAGAATGTCTCAGTGCCATTTATTGTGCCCTGAGGGATCCAAAAAGGAAGTTACAAGTTACCCAGACATCTCACAGATGTGTTATCTTAGAGGCAAAAAGGCAAATGGGCTCAGGAAAGAAGATCTAAGGTGATCTTTGTCAGAGAAAATATCGGCCTAGGACATGACTACCCACTATAACCTGTTTATAGTTAAATATTTAATTTTAAAACCATCTTTTGTGGTTATTTTAGGTCTCTGAGTTTGCAAGACTGCCACGCAGGCCTCCCCTAAGCTTGTCAGGTTAGCATGTGGCTCCTTATGTCCACAGGGTTATAAACACGGGGGAGAAAATAGAGTAATCCACGTGAGGCCGTCCAGCAGTGGCCCTCCATCCGGCTGCCTCTTCCCACCTCACAGGAGCCTGTGGTGAGAGCTCTGAGGGGGCCACCCCTTGTTGGGGTGATATTAGTTTTACTACCGCAGAGAGGTGTCCTGAGAACTCATCCACTTGCCTCTCCATGAAGGAAAGCCAGCAGACACTGCTGGAGGCTGAGAGACCTGAAGTAGTTACTGATAGAGCACATGTGTCAAACACAAGGCCCGCGGGCCAAATCCGTCCCGCCAGGGCTTGCAATGTGGCCCACACCGCGCTGTCATCACTGCACTCCGCTGCGTTTCCATCACAATGACAGTTTATGACTGTTCAGTAAACCATTCGGCCCATGATTTAGGCTGGATTTTAGATTTTGGCCCCTTCTCTGATGGAGTTCGACACCCCTATGATAGAGCCTTCCTTCCCCCAGCTGGAGGGCGGCATATGACGGAACCTGCACCTGCAGCCCGAACATTCCTGAGCACCTAACCAGGCACCTTATATGGATTGTACATTGAACCACCATCAGCACCTGCCAAACACCCTAAGTCCCCGATTCCTAAGTCCCTAGGTCCCTAATCATGTGCCTTATATGAAGCCACCAATCAGCGTGTGCTGAGTATCCTAAGCCCCATCATCCTCTCGGATAGAATAAAAAGTGAAATGATGGACATGTGCTGCTTTTACAGAGATGGATACAGGATACTTTAACGTAATTAACAGTTGACAATTAACTTGATAACAATAACATGTGGCTCTCCCACAAAATACCACAAGTCTTTTTTGGTATTTGGACGAGTCTATTTTGAAGAAGTGGCACTAGAAATTTAAATTTAAAAAATTTGGCTCTCAAAAGGAATTTCAATCATTGTACTGTTGATATTTGGCTCTGTCGACCACTAGCCTAGCTCATCACTGAGCTGCATAAAGCGTCAGGGTTTAAGTCCTCAAACAGCAGCGGTGCTAACAGCTACCATCCAGTGTCTTCCTGAAGCCCGTGTGACTGACCACTGGACTTCACAAAAGCAACACACGTGGGTGGCAGCACCCCCGACAAGCAGCACGTGACTCCTGGCAGGTAGCTCAGCTGGCGAGAGCATTGTCCCGATGCAACAAGATTGGGGGTTGAGCATTGACCTATGAGCCAGGAGGTCCCAGATCAATTCCCAGGTCGAGGCACAAGCCCACACTGCAGGCTCGATCCCCAGTGCGGGGCATACAGAAGGCAGCCCATCGATGATATTCTCTGTCATAACTCATCCTTGATGTTTCTATTTCTCATTCCTTCCTCTCTGAAGTCAATAAAAATATATTTTAAAAAATAATTAAAAATGAATAAGTAGATAAAAGCATGTGTCCTGTGTGTGCCGCAATAACATTGAATACGTGTTAGAATGACACAGGAAGTTGATCCCAAGGACACAGTTGGTGAAGAGCTAGAGTAAAGGTAGACACTTTCATGTCTTTTTGTCCTGCTTCCATGTTTTCCTGAACGTGCATCTCTGTTTGATTTTAAAAACGTGAACAGGCAGGTGAAGAAGCCTTCAAATGCACTCTCCGCTTCCTGGCTCCCCAGCTGACCTGGCACTTACATTGCAGTTTTGAACAGTTCTACGCATTCCAGTAGGAACCGGTGACCCACTTAAATGTGTTGGATTAAGCTGTTAAAATTGTTGGTGTGGCTCAGTGGATAGAGCGTCAGCCTGTGGGCTGAAGGGTCCCGGGTTCGATTCCGGCCAGGGCACATGTTTTGGACTCCATCTCCAGTGGGGGGCATGCAGGAGGCAGCTGCTCAATGATTCTCTCTCATCCTTGATGTTTCTATCTCTCCCCCTCTCCCTTCCTCTCTGAAATCAATAAAAATACATTTTTAAGAAATAGAATAAAATTGTGGGCTTTGGATCCGGTGGTTTTCACGGTCCTCATGTTAAGCTCGTAGGACGGAGCGAGCTCGTTGGTATGCACTGCTCTTAGGCAGGAAGCCCGGCTCCGGGGGTGATGAACAGAGCAGAGCGGAGAGGATGTTTGGGAGCTGCCGCCGCTGTCACCGAGGAAACTAGCTCTGTCTGCCCTCTCTGGACTTGTTTAAAAAGCCAAAACGTCTGATAAGTAAGGAAGTAAGTAAATAAAGGAACGAATTTAAATTATCTGAAGTACTGAAAAACAACTGAAATTTCTATTTAAAAATTGTTCCCATTGTTACATTTCTTTACATAACAGGTTTTTAAGGAAAAAATTAGAAAATTCGTAAGGACAAGAAAGAAAAGGAAGGCAGCAAATTTCTACGCATTCCACTATTTCATAACTTTGTTCACTGAACAGTGTGCTATAAAGATTTTCTGTTAGTAATTCCTGTCTTCAGTCAGGTGCTTACTGTGCACGAGAGGTATGCTGGCTTCTGCCTAGGACGCGTGTGCGTCTGTACTCTCTCGCCCAGCGTCTCCCCCAAACAGCTCCATTGCTTTTAACAGCCTTGGTGTTGCCTGCTACCTTATCAATCGGTCCATGGCTCAACACTGAACTTCCTGCTTGTGATCACGGTAAATATCTGTGTGCTTAGGATAAACTCCCAGGAGTGTTCCGGCAGCACACGGGAAGGCCGAGCATTCTGAGGGAGGCCTGCGCAGTGTTCTGAGAGCTGTGCTGTGCTGTGACTGTCCCTGTGCCGTCGCTGTAGTGGGTGCCAGGCTCGCCCAGAGCCTCCCCTGCTCTCAGGACCATGGCTGCCGAGGCTGGTGCCAAAGGCAGAGGTGCGTGGGCCGGACGGGGGTCCGGTCCCTGGGGAGGGGGAGCCCAGGCCCTCAGTGGGCGTCACTGCCCCCGGCAGGCTGACCTCTGCAGTGAGCTGTGGTCGCATAGAGCGGCCTCCGACACCTGCAAAGTGCAAGGGAGAAGCCGGAGGAAGGAGTGCCACCCGGTTTTACTTTGTTCCTGATGTTTTTTATTGTTTTGATAGATTTTAGAGAGGGGACTGTTAGGTGAAGGCAGGGGGGAAGCCCAGAGCTGATGCAAGCATCTGCAAGGTAGATGGTGACACAGATAGCTGGCGCCTTCCTAGACCCCTGGCCCGAGGCAGGAATTCCACCCCTCTCTTGGCCTCGCCCTCCCCTCAGAAACAGCTGTATGAAAGAAGTACCTGGGCCGCCTTTTGGCGAGACCTTCCCTGGCCCGCCCACCCTCGCACCAGCGAGCTTCGCCCGGAGCGCAGATTGAAACCTCCCTCTTTCAGTCGCCTGGACTCGGTGTCTTGCTTCTGTGTCGCAAAACTTTCAGGGACGGGAGAGAGAGAGAGAGAGAGAGAGAGGGACATCAACGATGAGAGAGAATTGTGGATGGGCTGCCTCCTGCACATCCCCACTGGGGATCAATCCCACAACCCGGTGTGTGCCCTGACCAGGAACCAACGTGGCTCCTGGTTCATAGGCCAACGCTCAACCCCTGAGCCACGCCAGCTGGGCAGGAGCTCAGTGTTTCTGAGCTCTGAAACGTGTCCAGGCTGCAGCCCAGCTCCTGCAGCCCCCCAGCGTGGGCT